TGCATAACCGCCAATGAACTCGGTGATCAGGTTCAACTGGTTGCTGGTAATATTCGTCACCGCCTTAATGATGCCAACGGGAATAAAATAAATCATCGGTAGCACAAAGGCCAACAATACCGCCCACGCTGGGAGACCCGTATGCCAAACCTCGTTGGTCACAATGCTCAGTACAAACATGAGTATGGTTACAGCCGCAAACCACCACCAAGGAACGTCTTTGTAAGAGGCCATGAGCCGTGAATGAACATCCTTCTTATCCCGTCCTTTCCATTGCTCCCACAGGTCAGTCCCGTGATACAGAGCTATGTGAACGAAGATGCCCGTGAGGTTGGCAAAGGCTACGCCGTAGGTCACTGCGTAGCCCGCTGGAAGAAACATGGGCGAGTACTCGCGGTACGCCTCCACGTTGACCGTGCCGTCATGGTTCATCACACGGCTGGTGTTGTAAGATTTGCCTGTATTATCGAAGGTGTTGGAATTCAACATCGGGAGATGAGCTGAATACCACGTATTGGTGTAGTACAGAATTGGACAGATTAACCAGAAGAACAAGGCAAATGATCCAATCACGTTCAGCCCTGCCCAAAAAGGGACCAGTAGCGGGCTTTGATTCGCATAGACGACCTGAGCCCAATCAAAGGTTAGTATTGACATGCCCAGCCCTGTCACCTGGCCAAAGAGCTGGTTGACAACGACGTTGGTCGGTACGATCCAGCAGATAAAGTTAAACGTGCTAAGGCCGGTGAAGAGGTATCCCGGAGCAAAGTACCAGATTGCTCCGCCAGCGAAAACAAAGAGGAAGAAGCGGAGACGGGTTATCGACCACCCATCCGCGATGACGTTGGCGCGCGAGTGTAAGGTGGATAGTAGCGCGGCATTCGACAAAACCTGTGGCCATATCATTGTCGCCGGTCCCACGAGCCAGCGGGAAGCCATGCCCGCCAAGCCGAACCCGAACAGTTGTGTGGTGATACATAATAGGATCTCGAATCCCCCTTGCGAAGGCATGTTATAGAACTTCACCATGGCCTCAATTATCTGTGTCGCAGCCGCCGATCCGAAGGAGACATTGGCCATGATAGTGATCAAAGCATGCTCCTTGATGTTGAAATGACGATCCGGATTCAGCCACCCCAATGGCAGCCATTTTGCCCAAGCACAGCCAACGGGAAACGCGACCAGCTGTGCTACCAGAGCGCTGATAGTTACACTGGGCTGCCTCAGACTGAAGAACTGATTCAATCCACTCCCGACCTAAGGCCAGTCAGTGTTACACGCACCGCGACACAGCTTTCTCCGCCACTGACGTACAATCGTAAATATCACCCCAATCGTCCACATCCGAACCGTGTTGACTGGCAGATGTACATCGTCTACCGGCCTGACGACCGCACGAACCTCAGGGAAGGGAGAATCATCCGCTTCGTAAGGGAGGATCTTGGCGGCATCGCGGTCGCTGAGAATACTGTAGTTGCTATCATCGATATCGAAAGACGGTTCCTAGCGACGATCATTAGATAAAGAACTAACGATATGAGTATTAATGAAGTGATTGGCCCCATCCCCAGGGCATACGGTGTGTGCCACGTGGAAAGCGAAGGATGGTCACTGGGCGAGCTAAGTCCGTCTAACCCACCTGTAAGAACTCCTTCTGCTGGGGCTTTTCGTCCCGCTCCGGCATGTCAGCTATAATACGAAAGTACGTATTATGGTGGTAAGCAGATTTAAAGTAGGCTGTTCGCTCTGGGTCCAGTCAATGAAGGTCCTGGGATCTTGTCTAACAGGGGGTTGAATGAAGGTGGAGTGGACATGATCCTCGATGTAGTTTAGTGTCACTCGTGACAGGCCAGACCACGGGATTCTTTTATTAAATTTTATTATTCCCTTTTTCTTTTTTGATTTTCGACTTCCATGTTGAGTAATTAACTCTCGCTCTGAGCCGTGAGGACCAGGGATCGATACCAATGTTTCCGGTAACACTCAATACGATGATACAGATCGGAAACTCCCCCTGGCCTCGTCATCACAGACTACCCGAGTGGATACTTGACCTGGATACTATTGTGTTACAGAATAAATTACTACGGAGGTAATATGCGTTGTCTATTTTCCTTCTTTCTTTCTTTCTTTCCTTTTTCCTTTTTTTATTTTTTTATTTTTTTTTATACCTCCCCTTGTCTTCTCTCTCTTCATCTTCTATTTTGCTTGGTAATTTCTCGAGGTGTTCGTTGTAGTTGATTGTTTATAAATTCCCTCACCCGACATCGGTCTTGGTTTCTGCATCGAGTTTAGTTGACGATGCGAAATGTAAGTCAAGAATACATGTGCATCGGAGGAATCGACGGAAAACCCTCGTCGACCGCCTTGGGTATGGTTGGGCGGTTCAGTCCGTCTTTCCCTCATCGAATATTCGCCGAAGGTTCCATAGTGTCGGGACGAACCGCCTACAGTCATGCCACGATAGAAATCAGCCTGTGAGCTTTGATAAAGCAGCAAGATGACGAGTCCCTTGTAAACCCTTTTTTCTCTTGGGACACAATATCATATGGATATTATTGGCAATTAATGTGCGCAAAACTTCTACATCTGGTGTAGACGTCGTTTGTGGTTCACCCTTCCTCGCTCCCAGCGGATACAGCCGACCATCGGATCTGAGCGCTTCTATCCGACTCCAGCAAACCATTCGAGAACGACACGCAAACTGATCATCGCTAAGAAATGGCTGTTCCATCGGTTCCTTATAAGAGAAAGGGGGCGGCGCTCGTAGAATGATAAGAACAATGCATATCTTGGTCCCCTGAGGGCTTCACATCCAGTTACCACACGTTTTATATGTCGTCATCTCTATCCTTCAATTTTGCCTCTTAAGATTCCCATCAACTTCATCCACCACAAGGCTTGACCCTTTGAAGACTCCGGTGTAGGTAGTCTGTGCAATTGTACGACAAGGAAGGCAAATCCACCAGTATACATCGAATCCCTTCCTCGAAAACATGGGGGATCTTGGCCATCCTGTCGATATCTCGACCGTGCCGTTCGCACAACGCCCCATCATCATCTTGGGTGCCGGGATTATTGGATGTGCCGCTGCAAGACAACTTCTTCTCAATGGATTCCCCGTAGTCTTGGTGGCGGAGTATCTCCCCGGAGACCAGAGTATCTTTTATGCGTCTGCCTGGGCGGGAGCAGCATGGCATGCGGCTGGGGGCATTAGCCCTGAATATCGATACTTTCAAGCAATCACCCACCGCCATCTGCTAAAGATGGCGCAGGAAGACCCTGAATCAGGGGTGTGTATTGTGGACACACGCGAGTATCTGGAAGACCCCCCAACTGAAAACTCTGCGATCTGGGGGAAGACTGTCGTATCGAAGGTGAGGCAACTATGTCAGTTCACGGGGACGTTACATTGCTGACTGTGGAGATAGTTTCGTGACCTACAGCCCGGTGAATACCCCCCTAATTTCTCTTGTGGGTGGGCATACGATACCCTCGTCACCGACCCAACGCGCCACATGCCTTACCTGGGAAAACAAATCAAGGCGCTTGGGGGACAGTTCATTCGGAAACGGGTCGAATCTCTTCAGGAGCTGTACGCAATGTTTCCCGAATCAAGCATCTTCATCAATGCAAGTGGTATCGGGAGTAAGACGTTGAGTGATGTCCAGGACGAGAAGTGTTTCCCTGAACGAGGACAGAACGTGTTTTTGCGCACCGACAATTGTCAGACCATGTACTTCCGGAACGGCAAGGAATATACTTATGTCATTCCTCGGCCATTTTCGAAAGGTGTTGTGCTTGGTGGAGTAAAGCAAAGCGACAACTTGTAAGTTTGTTCATCAGCCCATGGTACAAGGTTTTCGTTCAAAAAACTGACCTGATGCATAGGTCTCCCGAAGTGGATATGGACATAGCCCGAGATGAGATTGCACGCGCCCATCGTCTCGCCCCCGAGATAGTTCCGGAATATCCCCCTGAAGATGCACTCGATCACATCATTGGCATCCGCCCGTCCAGGAAAGGCGGTTTCCGCCTTGAATCCGAAAAAGTGGGAAATCGCATTGTTCTATCCGCGTATGGATTCGGTGGGGGTGGATACGCCTTCTCATACGGCGTGGCCGATGCTTTGGCAAAGATGGTGGAAACGGCCGAGCGGGAGAATGTGATTCTTTAGAGCGGCTCATCGACTTCTTTTATTGAGTCAGCTGATACATCTGCACAGGGGGAAGGGGGGACGGGCGCTGTTTCAAACTAGACTGGATGTTACGTTGTTTGCATTTTGCTCATTAGCGACAGTATGATGATGATACCAGTAATATAATTGCAAGTCGTTAGTTGATTTTACGGGGAGCTGATGATACTACACAATGATATTAATTATATGCAATCCGTGTTATTATTATTATTATTACTATTATTTCTTTTAATACATATTTTTTCGCTCATTTATTCAATTTGATTGTCATTTTCGGTTTCTCTGTCCCTATGTCTTCTATCATACGACCGCATGGAGACATTGGCCTCAGGTTGTCGGGTAGACGGGGCCTCCGCGAGATAAGGCCTCTCAGGTTCGTAACTTAGTGGATACCCATCCTTCTACTAGTATTTAGTGACGGTAGGGCCTGCCTCACTTCCCCTTCGACGGGGTAACGGACGGAGTACTCTGTACTTCTAGAAGAAACATGGAAACACGATTGATTTGTGGCCCTGAATTTGCATTAGTCACTAGTAATTTTCAATCTGTCTATCCTTTCCGGAAAGGGTAGTGCAGCGTCTCTGATTCTTGTTTCAAAATAACCTTCTTTCCTTTGGTCCTATCATGATGCTTGGAGGTATGAATCTACTATTGATGAGGCTTTACATGGGTGGATCCCACAGTTAATGAACCTCCAACTCTCGAATCTATGACGTCGAGGCTCAACTACAATAGTACCTGGAAAGTCCATACCGAAGGAAAAGGATTCCTACTAGTCAATGCCACGAAGTAGGATGAAGACGATCGGCACCAGACAGCTACTATCGAGGATGCTATCAAATCAAGGAGGAATAGTTAATTCCGGGGTGACCAATGAGGGTTTCAGGAGGATCTAAAAATACCTTTTTTGATATATAACACCTGCTACATCGGGATCTACTGAGTCAGGACTCAGCAATGACAAGAATTGAACTAGTCCATATGTGTCACCACAAACCACCCCCCTCCTTTTTTTTTTTTTTACTTTTTTATATATATATATATATTGTTTTATTTTTACCCTGCTGGTTGACGGCATTTGAAAGTGAACATGGCTGAATAATCTCCTTGACTTATAGGGCCGGTGGGATTCTAGAACCTGAACCAGCTCGGGAGACGAAGTGGTTCCATTCCTTGATTTGTACCCATTTTCATTCTCTGGGGTGGATCCGCGGTTCTGAAGGAAATCAAGAATCGGTCGGACTAAGGTTAGAGGGAATGCAAACATTGGTGGTTTTGGCATGCAAGCAGAAGCAACGTGACTGGATGTTTGGGCTCTTGCCCCGCAAGTCCGGGCTGGTCGGCCGTCCACTAGTGGACGAAAGCGCATGGTCGATCGCCTTCCGTTGACGTCGGTGGTTTGGCCTTTTGCCTTAACTCGGCACTCCCCTAATGAGGAAGATTTCTCTCTGTTCCATAGCCAACATGAGGTTTCAGATCCTGATCGCTTTGCTTTTCCATCTTGATCTGGCTTTCAGCTTTCTTGGGTGAATTTTACTGGTATGAACGGGTTTCACGAGGTTGCAACGTAACCCAGATCGTGTCGGATCGGGTGAATCAACCCAAAACCGCGTACTAGCCTTTCTCTCCTCCCTTCGGTACAAAGGGTCTTTTTACTCGTCCAGTCTTATACCGCCACGCTTCTCGTGGAAAGCAGGGATGTCGCTCAGAGATCGGTTTCTCAATCTCAGCATGCACGATCGCGCCCAAACCGTGAACCTGCCGCTAATCACGACGCCACCAGAAGACAATGATATGGTGTTAAGCGAACTCAAAGGCGACCCGAAGCCATCGTTACGGACGAATGACAACTGCGCCTCGGCCGCCAAACCTGTCACCCCACAGCTGGATGCCTCACTGTGTCGCATCTATCGCTACACCCCAATACCGACCGTCGTCGTTGACGCAAACCTATCCATACTGGAAGTGTCCGACAGTCAGCTCACCCTCTCGGGCCAGACCAGGGACACATTGCTCAATACTTGCATATGTGATATTGCCCCTTCCATCGTCCCTGTGCCAGATATTCCATCCTTATTTGGCGCGATACGAGCGGCTATCTCAACGAAGGAAATTCAGTTGATCGATGATATTCATCTAAGTGATAAGAAGGCGTACTTTCGACTTCAGGTTACGCCAATCTATAAAGACCGGACTCTATTATATATCGTTTTCGAGGCACATAAGGACACCAGGGATCGCTCTGATGCCCAGGATCATCACCATGCATATGTGAATGAAACGTACAAAATCCTGGTGGATACCGTCAAAGACTATGCCATCTTCATGCTGGACACCCATGGCAACATTACAACTTGGAATCCGGGCGCTGCTATCATGAAGGGCTACTCCGCTTCCGAGATCATCGGCAAGCACTTCTCCGTGTTTTACAGTCCCGAAGATCGGCGCAACGATAAGCCAGGGAGGGGCCTGGCGGTATGCTTGCGTGATGGAAGGATGGAAGATGAAGGCTGGCGCTACCGTCAAGATGGCTCTCGATTCTGGGCCAATGTTATGATCACCCCTGTTTACGAGTTCGGCCGTCATGTCGGATTCGTGAAAGTGACCCGTGATCTGACCGAACGGAAGGCGGCTGAGGGGCGTCTGATCGCCGCTTTCGAAGAATCATCAAGACTCAAGACTGACTTTTTGGCTAACATGAGTCATGAGATTCGTACACCAATGAACGGCATGCGCCTTGCGTTGTCTATGCTGACAGACACCGAGCTCGATAACAACCAGCGTGAATATGCATCCATTATCGAGGATTCTACGTCGGTATTGCTACAGATCATCAACGACATCCTGGATTACTCGAAGCTATCCTCAGGGTCATTCTCCCTAACATCGGATATTGTAGAGGTTGACAGCATCGTGGGCGCAGTTGTGCGAAATTGCAAATCTTCCCTAAGACCAGGCGTCACCCTCAGTTGTTCCATGCAGTCGAACTTTCCTCAAGCTGTGCGTGGAGATCCTCTACGATATCGCCAAGTACTCCAGAATCTTGTCGGCAATGCGGTGAAATTCACGGAGAAGGGGCATGTCCAAGTATCCACTTCATTCGCCACAGACGCTCAGGATCCAACAATGTATAACATCTCGACCGAGGTAGTTGATTCGGGAGTGGGTGTACCTGGAAGTGCTATCAACACCTTGTTCACGCCATTTACACGGTTTGCGGATTCTACGAGGCGGAAATACCAAGGCACCGGGCTCGGTCTTTCCATTTGCAAAAGCCTAGCAGAACTCATGAACGGGAGTGTAGGCTACCGACCAAATCCGGACGGCCCTGGTAGTGTATTCTGGTTCACAGCTAAAATGGGGCGGACGGATACGCGAGTGCCAATCAAGCGTTCCGGCATGCCCCCTACTGACAGCTCGGGAGATCTTATCAAAAAGTTGAAAGAGGTCGCGCCCCGCAAACATATCTTGCTCGTGGAGGATAATTTGGTGAATCACATGGTAATGCTGAAGCTCCTGCAGAGCTTCGGGTTCGAGCGGATTGATGCGGCCTGGGATGGGGCGGAGGCCGTTAGGCTAGTGAAACAAACGCCATTATCTTACAACGTAGTACTTATGGATATCAGCATGCCAGTTCTGGATGGCCTCGAGGCGACATCTCAGATCCGGGGTATGAAGATTGATGTGCCTATCATTGCGCTCACTGGCAATGCTTTGAAAGGCGACGCTGAAACCTATCTCGCCAAAGGTATGAACGACTATTTGGGAAAGCCTGTGCATCGCAATCATCTTCTGCAAGTGCTTTGGAAATGGCTAGGGACATGACGACTGAGTTTCTCACCGAGATATATGGCTGCGGGCGTGAAAACTCCCATTTTTCTTTTTTAGGAACCACTAGTTTGTGGATCATAGGGTTGTCGCCACTATTGACCCCCCTCTCAACATTCGTCAGTGCACTCACCGGGCCCCTCATTAGCTCCATCAGTATACTTGGGCTGGTGGCGCCAATCTAATTAGATGCTGAATGGGTGGCTAGCTCGAGAGATCCAGACTCTCCTATGTTGGTGGTACCCACTCGGCAACAGGGTGCCATCGTCTTAACAGACGGCGCTCTTGTTGCCCAAAACAAGGCGTGGTATGGAGCCCAGAAGGCTCTCTTAGCACCTCTATTTCGCCTTTCGAGGACGGTAGTCCGTCTCCACTGCCGAATTATTTCCGACGGAATTGGCCGGAAACCAAATCTGTATATCTATCTGAGACATTAGAGTCATTGCACGCGTCATTATTGGACTACTGTAATACTGCTTATACGCTAGGGAATGAAGTTACCATGTGAATGTTATCAATCCTACCTTCTTACACATCCAATAACGCTCCACTATTCCCCCACAACGTCGCCCGTCATGGAGCGTTGTATTGGAGAAAAGTCTGCATTTCACCCTTAGAGTGGCATCGCAGCATCCCAAATGCTGGCTCCATCCTGGCACCTGCGTTCACTGGTTAAACAAGAACCAGGGACCGCACGAGCATATCAAGCTAGTGTGGACGAGGGGAAGAACAGATTTGCAGTAAGGCTTCCGATCATCGATCTCGCAGTGCGTATCGAAGACGTCTATCACATAGCTTTCCTGATGAAGTTATCGCTCATGGCAAACCCATGTCACGCGGGTTAACACAATTGCTATCTTGTAACTCGCCACTCCTACCTATTAGTACTTGCTTTAAGAATGAGAAGCCGTTCTGAGGGATGTAGCTGGTATCTAGCGAAGCCGGGTCAAAGTAGTACTCGGCTGGCTTGATTTAGATGGTAATTTAATGGCGATCTGTCTAGGAAAGGGACCGATATATAAAATGATCACATCATGATATTTCTCTATATAAAGCCGGCTTAGGGCTTTCCTAAAGTTTCCATCCATGTTTCCTGCCTCTAAGACAAGAACTCTTTTCATGGTTGTTTTTTGCGATTCAAATAAAAGTATATAGAACTGACTCTCGAACCTGTTTGGCAATGTTCAATGCTTCTTCACGACTGCTCCTTGAATAGACATTGAAGTAAGCGAGAAAGGTGTTCCGACCAGTACTTGGATGCGGAACATGTTGCCCTCGTTTGACAAGACAACCGCATCTACTAATGCATGCTTCAAGGTCAGGTCTTCGTGCAATAAGATCCGCGCAGATGTCGTCCGAATCAAAGATACCTTGACAGGAGGAGGGAAAGTCAGCCGGAATGAAGACCATAACACTGGTATATTGCGGTCCCTTGAGGAATGGGTGGGCAAGAGCACGAACGCGAGTCGCATCACCCACGGCCGAGAGCAATGCTAAGCCCCAGTAGTCGATTCCGTAGGTGGATTCGACGATCTGGGAGCCTGTCATTCCTAGAGGGCGAGGATTGATCTCGATCAGCCATGCCTTTGGTGTACGATCACTGTCACTGCTCCGTGGGGAGAGCACCATGACCCCATCCTCAGTCGTATACTTGACCATGGAGTTCTCTATCCGTCCTTCCAGGTGCATCACCCCGCTCTGTAGACCAAGCGACAGCAACATGGCCAGAAAGGTTTCGCGCAGTAATTCAATCTCTGCCTCCGGTAGACTTGAGGGATAAACACTGCACAGCTCATGAAAGTTGATCAAAGAACCAACGCTTGGTCCATTGATATCGGCTGACTTTGGTAAATCATCGCATACCTCGAAAAATAGCAGCTCCCCGTCCTGTAGCACAAGGTTGACATCGACCTCGGGTCCGTCACAATAGGGCTCAATGACGAACTCGGGCCCGTGACGGGAGGCGATGATTGCGCTTACTGCCTCCTCGAGGGCGCTACGCGAATCGACACGATATACGCCTTCCGAGCTCCACCCCCCACAGGGCTTAATGATTAAAGGATAAGGCAGGTCGTGCTCCTGGGCTACCGTGATAGCTTGGGCGAGGCTCGACGCACGATATGCTTGATGGCCGGCGAATTTGCTTGTAAGATACTTGTTTGTGGCAATCCTGAATCCCTCTGGTGATGCGGTTGGCAGACCTATGACCTTGGCGGCCTCGGCGACTTGAGGCCAATAGGTGTCTGCAAAGGTGACGATACCGTCTACAGGCTTACCATAGGCCCGTATAGATGCGAGGATGTGGTCTTTCATATCCTCCTCTGGAGGGTTGGTCAATCGCGTCGGAATGAAAGCCTCGCATACATGGGCGTTCTCGGGTCTTCCGAGCCAGTGTCCGGCATCATCCAAAACGACCAAGCTGATTCCTAGCGTCGCGGCAGCGGTGTAAAGGCCAAGTCCATCGTCCGGGTGTGAGCTGTTCGCGTCGACGAGCACGAGCGTCCTCTGACGGGCCGCCTCTGGAATAATCCATGGGAATGAGAGTCGATTATCAAGTTCTTCGTCTAACTCCAAAGATACAGTCTCCAGGTCAACCGGAGGTACCGGACGCATAAGTATGCAGGCTGCAGCCGTAGCGAATATCGCCGACAAGGAGATGTCGTCCTTTACAATAGGGGTGGCTTCACCTTCGTAGCGTTGTAATGGTTTTGCAAATGATTCTATATGTTCAACAAGCAAGCAATCGTGAAGACGTATAGGGATAATATCCGACCTGACTATGTATCCCTTTGCCAGCGGGATGATGAGTCTGATTAGCCGCTCTTGATCTTGGGCCACTGGCGCTAAGAAAATCCGCAAGAAGAATTCGTAAGCTTCTGCTGGGCCAAAGGATTTGGCTTCAAGCAGCGTCGGTTTCCCTTGGTGAACAACGACAACACGAAGGTCGTTGGAGCTTCTTATGAGGCTAGCTCCGAACGAGCACACGCCATGGACGGTGGTAAGCACACAGTCCACGGATTGCCACTGGTGGCTTTCCCGGTATGATGTCCGCAAAACTCGCCATGTGTGCTCACCCAGTAAGACTGCTTACATTCAGCTTTCAGACGCCGGACCTTAGATGAGATATAATCCTTACCGTGTTGTCTCCATATCTGAATTACGTGGGAAGCCGCCATGGTCGGAAGAATCTACGTATCAGGTCAAAGGACAAGACGGATGCGCCCCGATATGACATTGACAAAGCGTCAGATGCAATGAAATTGAAGTATTGATTCTCTATGTAAGCGGGGCTGAGGTTCTATTTATGCTGCCTGGGGAACGAAGAGATCAGGCCTGCGCTAGGCCTATTTGGGCAGCTTAGACATATTAGATGCAACCCAAGAAGTTAACAAATTGAAAGTATTATCGCCACATTAAATGTTTTCATCAATCATCTATTCCTGTTCCGCTGGGTACAGTTCGTCCTGCAACTGACCGACCAGTCCTCCAGCCACCAACACCCCCGACGACAAAGCCGTTGCGACGACTTTTACAGGAGAAGCACAGTCACCCGCAGCAAATACACCAGGAACCGAGGTGCTATAGAAGGGCGCCGTCGCTTCAAACTCTCCGGTGGGTGTCAGCTGCAGTCCGAGCTGCCGAGCAAAAGGGCCATTAATCTCAGTCCTGGGCTTATGGGTCTAGTGATGATTAGCAATAGATCATAAGACAACTAGTATATATATGACATGTACTTACCAGAAAGCCCTCTGTTACTTGCGTGCCATCCTCGAATATGACTTGGACATCGGATGCACTGGACCCTTTGGCTAGCTTGGAGATCTTTCTCTTGTGTACTTTAATCCCCGTTCCACGAGTTGATTCCTTCAGGGTCTGAGCGAGCTCCTCAGCACCGTCAGTGTACAATGTCACTGTATTAGCAAATCGCTTAGCCATACGGGCAAAGTGCATGGCTATCATAGGATTAGCAACGTCGCCAACGGCCAGAAGCCCAGCAGAAGCACAGCCACGCTCTTCGTAACCATGGCAGAAAAGACAGTGAAAACTACCATAAGTCGTTAGTCCACGGAATCTGAAAACGAAATCAGCCATGAAGGGTGTACTTACATGCCTGTCCCCCAACACTCTCCATATCCATCGATGTCCGGGAAAATGTCACGGACACCATTGGCTAGTACCAGTTTGCGGCCTGTCCAGACACGGTCAAGGCCGTCGAATGCTTTGAAATGGCCCTCAGATGTCTTTTGGACTTTCTTAATCTCGATGTCCTCAAATTGAATCGTATCATAGCGAGCCAGGATACGCTCACGAGCTTCGCGACGGAACTCTGCAGGTGAACTATGATCCCAGGTTGCCACGTTATGCATATGATGGGACAAGGCGTTGCGATAAACACCCGAGTCAAAGACAACTGCGCGGTAGAGTTGACGGGCGAGACCGGTTGCTACCGACAGTCCAGCTGGACCGCCGCCGATGATCAGAACGTCGTAGAGAGTCATGATTATAACTTTTGTTGATGTATCAATGCAGATAGAAGATAGAATATATCTCTGAAGTAGAACCATATAGCATGGTGGATTGACACGGAGATTTATATACAAGAGTTGCCGGAGACTTTTAGCCCTAAGAATGTCTCCGAATAGGCTCCATCGTCGTCTTGGCCAAGCTTTGAGAATCTAGACTTCACACGCCCCCTTTTTCTAGAATAAAAATCCACTAGCCATGGTCATATTCTGACTCATGCCCTGGCGACATGATCGCATTTGAGAGAATTATTCAGCCATGTAGCGTAATCCGTGTGGAAGGAGTTTGGTATACGACATCAACTCGCTCCCGTTTGGATGTTGTGTCGAGGACCCTTGGGACGACCTATTTCGTATCCAATACTATATGACCATATGCGTATCTATATTATGAGTCCGGTTGCATAATTGTGAGCTTTGTAAGCTGCTGAGTCTGGAATAAATTCATTAAGAATACCTTATTACTAAGGGTGAAGGACACTATAAAGTCTATTTGTGTCGTTTGGGTAAACAATACGATGGGAGTCAGTAGTGTCTTCCAAGTTCGGGTACCAACAGATACTGTTGCATAGTGTACTAATGTCATTAGTCTTATGTGATATTCTAGACTCTTCTTGATGTTACTTGTCATAGCGGTCAGCTACGGGTTTTGCGGGCGACAACCGCGATGGACAAGCAGTTTTATATTTATTCAAATCAAGATACGAGTATAATAGAACGATGTATGTGTGTGACTGGCATAAACCCCCAACGCAACACATCTAAAAGAAGTTGTCGGTTCTGATAACGAGAATTGAATATAGGCTCAGTATTAATGGCCAAACTCCACTTACTGATTCTGGCAACTGCTATTCTGCACATTACAATGAGTTTCACAGTCGGAAAAGGTACTCAGTAGTAATAAAAGATAATTAAGATAGGGATATGCTAGAGGAGCCTATAGACTTGTAAATATAGCGGAGCGGGAAGGCGTTAATAAACGGAGATTGTGGAACAAATCGTGGTTTTTACTAATGATACCATAAACGATGATAGCTTCAGGCAAGACGGAATATCGTGATTGAAATGGACTCACCCAGATAATGGCTTATATATCAAATAGACGGCAGATGCAATGCGAATAGGCACAAAGCTAAGAGCACTCAACGGCTTTGTAATGTAGGAAGAGAACCGGAACCATCAGAGGGTCATGCTCAGAATGTCTACTAGAAATAGTCCAGATAAAGTATTCTCTGTCCTATCTAAAGGTCCCAGAGTAGCTCTAACTACCTTATTTCTCGATGTGTTTGGACTAAGAATCCTTGTATTGATGCCAGAGTTGAAAAGGTAATTAGAAGCTGATATTGTCGAAAATGACATAGAAGCAAAACGTTTAATAGATATTTAACCTTGGATCTATGGATAATTAATAACATCCCAACCACTGGGCAAACTGAGAGGCATAAAGCATAGAAAGATCAGAGAAAGCCAAGCCTCATTCCGACGATGGAAGGCAGTTTCGAAGGGGCTAAAACGCCCTAGGAATGTCGATCAGGCGTACATCTCTCGTATATCAACCCCACTTAAATCCCATCGCCACGTCAGGCCAAAAGGAATAAATTCAAATGAATGCTCCCCTCTTCAAGTATCTCAAACCCAATTAAAAACTCTTCATCACTCTCCCAATACGAAACCCCACAAGAAAACCCTACAATCAACCTCTAACCCCACCAAATGGACCCGTTCAACCAAGGCATCCAACAAATCTATTCCAGCTTAGCCATTGGCTTTGCCATGATCCTAGTATTTGTTTTCGTCCGACGTATCATCAACTATGTTCGCTCTTTGCCGCGGTCCCACCCGATCCCTGCTGGTGGTCGAATGCTGTGGGCCTTCTTGAACTCCAACCTTGTCGCACAAACAGTTGGATATACGCTCATGATGATAATGCTCAGGCAATCGCTAAACAAGACGCCTCAGCGTACATGCCCTAATCCGTGTCCATCTAAGATCAATGTGAAGTTTGATCATAAGGAGATCTCCGATATTGTTTCATCGGCGGTTAGGAGTGCGCTGGCGGAGGCTACTGGTGTTAACGAGGGCAGTGCGCAGTAGATCTTTGCCAAGATCTCTCGTCTCTTGCAGTGCTTCGCGTGTGTTTGGTATGGGTGGTTTGCGGTTTCTTTTGCGGTTTCTTTTCTTTCTTTCTTTCTTTCTTTTTAACGAGTAATGAAGACATGAGTTCGCATACTGTATTCTATGATTCTGATTTTAGGGGGAAGAGACGTTTAGCGAACCGACAGGAATGGACGTAGCGTGGTTTAATAAGAGTGAGAATAATGATGGTGATATCAGGAATATTTGTTTATGCAAAGTCTGGATATTTATGGTACCCTAACTTTAGATAAAGCTGTTAACTTTCGAAATTATATAAGTAGGCTGTAACTGTAGTATTCTTGATCGATGTGACCGTGTTTGGATATCCTACCTTGCGCTGGGAAATAGGAAAATATCATGTCGATAGTATTTGACACTCTGCACGGGGCAAGCGGCGGATAAACCTTGATTATAACAGATTTATGAGTAGTTATAAAAGAATAGCTGCTGGCTAAAGCAAGAACGGATGTTCAAGCAGCTGTTTGGCTGTCTTGCGTTCCTCTGGCATCCATCTCAACATTGATGTAATGAATGCCAAAAATAACTCTTTCTCCTCACCACTGAGACGCTTCTCCAGGGTGTCGAGAGAAAGAGTGGGTATAGGCGCTTCATGGTGAGCAATCCAGCCACCTGCAGCTATGTTAGTCTCGGAATCAGTAGGGGAGGGTGCGCATTGAGAAACAGGTACTAACCGCTCGAGTCAAAGCACTGCTCTGTCGTCTCACTACGCCGCACGAATTCGGTCGGCGGTGGTCCAATCAAGGCTACCATGAGGGCCAGATGCTTAAACGGATCATGGCCGCCTCTAGAATCGAATATACCTCCAAACAGATGCTGCCCTTCGAACAGGTCCCAAATCTAACCGTCAATCAGCAAGGTAGGGCAGCAACAAGAAATTCCAGTAGCGGCTGACTCACAAGGCCTGCAAGGTTCCAGATATCGATAGCGCTTCCCCAAGGCATCTCAAAAATAACCTCTGGCGCTCTGTATATATGTGGCTGGACGAAAGGCCCTGACTCCTGCATTTTGCCAATCCTTGCCTCACCAAGGTCGCACAGGACTGGGAGACCGTAGCTCTCGCCTCCAATTAGCCTGCGAAACTTTCGACTGCTATAGATAATAAGTGACTGGTCAATCAACTTCCGGGGGCTTGGGATTTTGGATTCCATGGTTGTAAAATCTGCCAGCAAAGAGCTACTCTCCAGGCTGAGCATCAGGTTGTCGGTCTTAAGATCTATTATATATCAGTCCAAAATCCAATGTTCACAGCGCGTAGGTCTCTACCAGTATGGATAACCTCGGCCTCAGCGTGCAAGAAATCAAGCGCCAATAGAAGTCGCCTGACAGTCATTCTGAGCAGAGGTAGATTAAATGGCCTGGGATTCATTCGCATCATCTCGAGAAGAGTCATATGCATTGGCTGCAACACAAGGCACTGATGTGTGCCGCCAGGGCCCTGGAGTTCAAATGAATCATAGAGCTCGCGGATCAATGACTGTCCCGCATGCGAAGAATCAACTTTTACCAGGTGTTCATAGACCCTCAATTCGCGATCTGTCGCACTAGGATGATCTGGTAAATGTGTGGATACCTTCAATACCGTGTAGTTATTGACTCTTGTTTCGTAATTCGTCAGAGTTCTTCTAGGATCTATTGGACCTGGGGTACACACTGAAGATCCCGGCATAGCCAGCTCGTTGAGTATGCCCCGTACCCAAGCTTTCCCGCGATTTTATATCTGGTGTGGTATACATCGCCAATTTTTACTGGGTAATAATGCGCTGGTGCGTAATGTGGTAGGGTTTCTTCCTCGATCGGGGTCCCCGTAGGGAGGATATGCGTCAGGCTAGAGAATTCTCTAGGACATGGTCGCGCTCGCCGGACGTTGTTTGTTAAAGCCCTCAACATAGACGCCATTTAAATCCAACCCAGCCTCCCACAGCACAAAAGTAGCCAAGGCAGGTTGAATCAGGTTGTGAGATATGGGAAAGGAGAGCTTGTCGCGGGTCGGAAACGACACCAGAAGCCAAAAACGAAAACATGCCGTGATCATATGACCCAACCTCGTAGTTTCGCGTTTCGATAGCAAATGTAACGTATTGGCCCATTGCTTCGTTTTCTTGTAAGTTACTGAAGGACAAAGATGACCCTAGAACCCGTATTAATTTGAAAATACAAGAGTCTCAGAGAAGAAGAACTTGGCCGTTGAAATGCTCCAAGCCTGTGTCTATCCCTTGTTGGGGCTAGTCCACGCTTAACGAAGCCCTATGTTTAGTCTGACTAGAAACAGGCCAACTATATGGAGCTCATCCGTGCCTCTTCCCTTGCCTTTCTCTCTTCCTTCAATTGACTTCAATTCTGCAATATTATGCTGTATAGTCAGCGGTAACGTTATTTCCAAGAGCGAGGAAAGATGATCCACTGGTCGGGTTGAGAAACCATGCACAACCTAATGACTCTAGTATAGAAGATAGAGCTCTGACTGATTTAGAAATATAACCAAGCATTCATAGCACTATTACTTGAGATTTGCAGATTAGATATGCTAAACCCATTAAAGCAACACAGAATCTTCACTAGAGCACCGCTAAGACACAACCAGGACTGGTCGTAAAAGTATGCTTCCACCCCACGGACCGGAGAAGAGCCAAAGACACCTAGGTAACCTGGCGATTTTGAGGATTTAGATCGTGTTCATAAGGCACCTCCATTCTACTAAACTTCTGGTTTTCAACACAAACTAGCTCGTGCCAATCGTCTTTGGTGCGCCTAGGTGGAAGCTAGTTTTGGTATATGGTAAGACCAATGATGTATACATTCTTCACCCCAATCATCGGTGTGTCTTTGGTTCACTCTTAGCGCATCTCGTGGAGTTTGCTTTTACGACTTTCTCAGGGGTCAAACTTTAGTCTAAGTAGTCTTACATAGGTATTCCCCGCGTCGATCAGCGATATATTGTTACCGCTGCCGAGGGATAGAGTAAATAGCGGGTCCAGAGCCCCGACACTTACCGTTGTCCGTCCGATCGTCATCTGTTTATACCCCACAGAAGGATGTCCTCGAGAAGCTTAAGTGGCTCCTTCACATGGGTTCACTTCAATTAAGCTCATCCGAGGCTTCTTTAAGTTGGGTCCTCCGCATTTCCCTTCCCGTGTTGTGATGATCATGATACTAAACCATACAAATCCAGCGCCATCCTCAGAACCATGACTATCTTAATCTGCGCTAGACTAGCTTGGCTCTTGGGTGCCAAGTTGACCTGGACTAAACAGGTTTATCAGACCTAACTGGGCCCAGCGATATATCTCTGCCAATAAGGATGACGCCCCGCGCAGATCGAACCCTGAAGCGAACATACTCACACGCCTTTCCCCTCGGTCTTAGCCCACATTAATGCTCCTTCAGGAGAACAATGCGATTGTCAACACGCTAACTCTGAGAGCTCGTAGACTACTGCTTGGAAGGGTTTGCGCCTTTTGCGAGCGGGGAATGGCGCCATCTAGACGGGTATATGAGAGGATAGAGCCCGTCTATGGTGGCCCTTCTTTCACCTCTGTTCTCTGTGTTCAGGGTTGACGAACCCGGGTGACAAAACCGACATGAAGAGTTCATTTATCTTGTTTAATGTACTAGTAACGGGCGCCTTGGCAATCCCAACGCGTACTGACTATGTCCTCCACGAACGTCGCGATGCTATACCAAGCCACTGGACCGAGGAGAAGCGTCTGGACGGCCAGACCGTGCTGCCCATGAGAATTGGTCTGACTCAGTCCAATTTGGATCGTGGTCATGACCTTCTCATGGAAGTGTATGCTTCCATGCCCTCTGTACCCTCTTCTCGTTCTAACGATCTAGGTCCACTCCCGGTTCCCATCGGTACGGCGACCACCTGACGGTTGACGACGTCCATGATCTATTTGCTCCCTCTCCAGAAAGCGTAGATAGCGTCCGCTCATGGCTGGAGTCTGCGGGCATTGCCCCCGATCGTATCTCCCAGTCGACGAACAAGCAATGGCTACAGTTCGACGCATGCGCCGCTGAGGTCGAACAGCTTTTAAAGACAGAGTTTTACCGTTACTCACACGCTGGTACTGGTCGGTCCCATGTAGCTTGTCGCGAGTAAGTAACCCCATTGCAAACGTGAAATGCTGTCTCTGATTAAGTAACCAGATACCACGTACCGGAAACGGTGCAATCGCATATCGACTATATCACACCTGGTATTAAGCATCTAGAGATTCGAGAGGAGCGACCGATTGAGAAGCGTAGCCTTGACAAGCGGTCATTTGGTATTCTACCACCAATTCTCCGACCATTGACCCTGCCTTTGGAGGAGCTACTAGGCCAGTTGCTGGCGTTGTGCGATGTAGCTGTAACACCCGCTTGCATTCAGGGTAAGTGCATGTCCACCATAGCTCGGAGAAAACACACACTGACTGACTAGCCATGTACAACGTAACCGACGGTGACAAGGCAACAAAGGGCAACGAGCTCGGTATCTTTGAGGATCTCGGTGATGTCTATAGCCAGGATGACCTGGACCTCTTCTTCTCAACTGTCGCCCAGTATGCTTCTCCCGTCTCCCTCCACCCTCCACCCACTCTAACCCCCCCTCCCAGTAAGATCCCCACAGGCACACACCCAATCCTCAATGCCATCGACGGCGCCCAAGCTCCAGCAGACACCACAAACGCAGGGACAGAATCCGACCTCGACTTCGAAATCTCCTACCCACTCATCTGGCCCCAGAACAGCATCCTCTTCCAAACCGACGACCCCATCTACCAAAACAACTACACCTACAACGGGTTCCTGAACAACTTCCTCGACGCCATCGACGGCTCCTACTGCAGCGAAACCTCCCCCCTAGACCCACCGTACCCCAACCCCGGCGACGGTGGGTACAAATCCCCCCGCCAATGCGGCGTCTACAAGCCCACAAACGTAATCTCAATCTCCTACGGCGGCGCAGAAGCCGACCTCCCGATCGCCTACCAGCGCCGCCAATGCCAAGAGTTCATGAAACTGGGCCTACAGGGCGTCTCCATCGTCGTGGCCTCCGGTGACTCGGGCGTCCAGGGCCGCGGCGGCTCCCCGACCCCGAGCGGCTGTCTCGGAAAAGATAATAAGGTCTTCGCCCCGGATTTTCCGGCAACTTGTCCCTACCTCACCACCGCGGGAGGCACATACCTGCCCCCTGGGGCTGACGTGCACGCGCATGAAGAGCAAGCAACAACAAGCTTCCCTTCCGGTGGCGGGTTCAGTAATATCTATAAAAGACCGGACTACCAGAACGCTGCCGTCGAGGAGTATTTCAACACGGCCCAGCTCTCGTACCCGTACTACGAAAGCGTCGATAATAGCAGCTTTGCTGCCAATGGTGGAATCTACAATCGTATCGGGAGGGCTTATCCCGATGTTGCTGCTATTGCGGATAACGTACTGGTGTTTAATAAAGGCTTGCCGACATTGGTTGGGGGGACGTCTGCCGCGGCGCCGGTTTTTGCGGCGCTGTTGACGAGGATTAATGAGGAGAGACTTGCTGCTGGGAAGAAGACGGTGGGATTTGTTAATCCCGTGTTGTATGCTCATCCGGAGGTGTTTTTTGATGTCACGAAGGGGAGTAATCAGGGTTGTGGGACGGATGGGTTCCCGGCTGCCAAGGGGTGGGATCCCGTTACTGGACTGGGGACGCCGAATTATCCGAAGTTGTTGGAGTTGTTTATGGGGCTGGATTGATGTTCTTGAGAGGAAGTAAACACTCTATGTGAGTTGTGCTGACTAGAGTCTGGAGAGAATTTGAAGTTACATGTTAAATGTAGATTTTATTGTATATCAGGTGATTCTACTCCAGAGACATTGGTATGATGTATACATTTTAGCTTTTATTCATATATACGATGTATATACACCAATCTATCCTCCCTATGGACATACAAGCAAAACATCAATCATTAAACGTGACCAGCACATCAACAAGACACTTAAAGAATGACCTTGTGGTCAGCGGGAGCCTCCTCAGGCTCACCGAAGACGTCGATGTTCCAGCGAGGCTTGTTAGCAACGTAGGGGACGTTGTAACGGCGCTCAGTGCCAAGGGCAGTGACCTTGGCGATCTCCTCGTCGGTGAGCTCGATCTCCTGGAAGTTGGCAGCGATACGAGTGGGAGTGACAGACTTGGGGATGACACTGTGGCCACCGACCTGGGACCAGGCGAGGATGACCTGGGCGGGGGAGACCTTCTCGCCAAGACGCTTGCCAGCCTCCTCAGCGACGGCCTTGATCTCGGGGCGGGTGATGAGGAGGGGCTCGCCGATCATGTTGTTACCGAAGGCGGAGTAGGCGGTGACGTGAATGCCCTTCTCCTTGCAGTACTGGATCAGCTTGGGGCTCTGGAGGACGGGGTGACGCTCGATCTGGTTGGCGGCGGGGACGACGCCGGTAGCGTTGATGATGGCCTCGAGCTAGAACAGGGAGTATTAGTATTAATGTTTATGCTAGTCGAGTAACTGAGACGAGCAGGCTGCGGGTGACTTACGTGCTCGACCATGTGGTTGGAGACACCAATGGCGCGGGCCTTCTTCTTGTCGAGCTTGATCATGGCCTTCCAGGTGTCAACGATGGAGATGCTGTCGTCGATGATGCAGTCGCCACCAGGGACAGTGCTGCCCTCAACGAGAGGGAAGTACTCGTTGCCGGTCTTGAAGGCAACGGGCCAGTGGACGAGGTAGAGCTATTGTTCCTTTTGTTAGTTCTTATGCATCCCAGATAGGAAGGTTTAACCCCAGAACATACATCAAGGTACTCGAGGCCACACTCCTCAAGGCAGTCGTCGAGAGCCTTGGCGACAACATCGGGGTGGTGCTGGCTGTTCCAGAGCTTGGAGGTGATGAAGACATCCTCACGCTTGATGTTGAACTCCTTGAAGGCGCGCTTGATACCGACGGCGATTTCCTTCTGGTTCTGGTAGATAGTAGCCAGATCCAGGTGACGGTAACCGGCCTTCAGGGCCTGGTAGACAGCCTCACCGACCTCACCGGGGGCAGACTGCCAGGTACCGAATCCCAGGGTACTGCGCAAATAGATGGTCAGTGTTGCCGTTCCTTCATTGATTGGTTTCCATGTAAACATACGGGATTTGGGCGCCGGAGTTGAGGGTAACCTTCTTGCCGAGAGACATGATGACGGTGAGAGATATGAATAGGGGAAAGTGGTATAGGAGTTCAGAGAAGAATGAGACGAGAAGATGAATGAAGAGAAGAGAAGAGAAAGAAGAGGAGGAGGAAGAGGAGAGCAATAAGTAAGTTTCTCACTTGCGCTTCAACTCCGGTGGGGGAAAACCATCGGAAAATTCCTGGATTTAATTATCCGCTTTTACCCTCAGGCTCTACCCCGCCAGTCCCCATGACCACTAAACCCGTTTGGGAATACCCCTCGGTGGGGTTTTTCACCACGAGTACCTTTCGGGTAATTCGAGCCACCACTTGACATGTTGTTTTCTCCTTTGGTCTTTCTCCCTGGCTATACAAATCAAAGAAATATGGATCGTGATGGGTACCTTGCGACAAACTTCGATACGTTTCCACGTGTCCTTACAATTCATGCGATGTCCACGGTGAATGTTCTCTCTACGGGCAGGTAGTAAACAACAATCAATATCAACTGATGCGCAAGTAAATTGTCGGCGGAGTCCTGCATGACGTCAAGCGGCAGACACTCCTCCGGAACAATTCAATTCTTTACCAAATTAATTTCCCCTTTTTGTTCAAAGGTTCTGAAGGCTTCCATTTGTTCGGTTCTTTTCTCTGGTCGGGAACCCGAAACAGTAACTGGGGTTCGCTTCCCCGATCTCCGGACGTATTCTGACCCCTCAATTTAATTAATAAAAATCCGGAGTATGCCGAGTATCAAAGATGCCGCGTCACGGGAGTTACTTGCATCTGTACCCCCACATCCTTCGACTGGCCTCCACTCCATACTCTCCTTTGGTCAGGTTTGGACAATACGATTGGATGACCTGAATGCTTCCGATTACCAATATTGATTATAAAACCATGGTCTAGCACCTGCTACTGGTAGGAGACCTAAGGCATCAGAATGGATTCCGTTTCAGTCGCGTGGCTTTTGATTATGTCCGAGGCCGTCCAGACAAAAAAGAGAACAAACTTTAAGGTCGTTACTACCATGCCACTGCACAATCGCATACGTAGTATGCACGTGACAACTCATCATCAGTCAGCAGTCTCAGCCATCTGTGCATCTCTCGCTACGAGTCCCTTGGCAGTAACTCCATCCCTTACTGTAGTATAGTACCGTGCCCGCGTCCAGCGGAAGACTCAGTGTCACTAATGTACAACGCCATATCAACGAGCGTGTACACCTGGGTGATGTGTTCTACTGGATCTTCATGTGCACTCTCACGTAACAGGCCTCACGCTCCGTAAGATGAGACGTGCATAGTCGAGGCCTGTACTCATGCTTAGTCTCTATCCCCACCATAACATATCTGCTTTCTTAAATATTCATACAGCACATACGACTATGCGAGGATTCCAGTCACAAATCCACTGATAAAGTGCGATGTGCATATCAATTCACAATGGCAGCCTGTTTTGCAACGTAATGTGATGAAATACTGCAAAGTTCGCGATCACCTGCAGCTCGCACACATTGTCTAGGGAGTGGATGCTCACATCCGTCTGAATGTGCGGGAGTTTAGTCTCCGCGAAGCCGGTGATGTTCAACGAAACATTGCCGCTGGATTCCACAGAGGATGTGGCGATCTTGCCGTAGGCCAGTGCTTCGATGCTATCGTTATAGCTGAGCTGCTAGCTGTGGGCGGTTCGTCCGAGCAGCATCCCGGTCAGGAGATAAAAAGAAGAACTTCTCATTGTTTTGAGTTCTGAAGATCTGAGCCGGAGACTGAATGGATAATGGCTTGCTATACTTATGTACTACCTACGTTGCAGCGGGTGAATTTCTCTCTATTTATATAAGGCTCTGGGGCGTAAAAAGCTCTTGCTCGAGCCTGAACGGGTTCTTGCCTAATGTTCACGACGTGACCCTAGAGGTTCATCATAGAACTGTGGTAGGGTATAAAAAAAATATAAAAATTCTTACCCTTGTCAATACGACTAAATAGAATGGGTACAGTTAGATCACGGCTGAACTAGGAAGCAGTACGGTGGTGATATTGCCACGGTGGCCCTTTTCCTTTCACAACCTATCACAGTAGCCTTAGAGATCCAGGATTCGATCCTTTTCGCTTCTGCCTAAGTCGGACACGAATCCCTCGATCTAGGGGTCTTGCACTTGCCAGTTATAGCTATAGCTCTGGCAGCAATGACCTAGGATCAAGGGGCTTAGTCTTGCATTAACTGAAATAGCTTGGCGTTAGCTTGGTTTTCTTGACCTTGGTGAGTCTCATCCGGACTTTTGTGAGAGGGTCGATGGAGCAATATATGAAGAGAAGACAATGCCTATTCTCCGATCATTCCATTCACGGAAAGAAAGTGAACAACTTCCGCTTCCTACTTATACTCACTCTCTGCCGTATACGATGGCATACCGGTCAGACCCACACTTTTTGTTGACCCTCTTTCGTGAACTCTTCAATACCTTTATTCATTCCACCGGAGATGACCCACTACTTGCGCGAACGCATCGATCTATCCAAAATCAACCTGTCCAAACGAATAATACTTTACTATTAGTACCGATTACTCTAGGGCTTCTCCTTAACCTCTTAGTGAGCGATTAATAAAGAATCCCTGTTCTCCGCTGAGGCTAATGGGTCCCAGATACGGTACATTATTGGTCGTGTCCTAATGTCTATCTTAATCCTTGAAACTGTAGAGAAGCAGGCTGATGCTTCTGAGCTGGGGGACAAGAAGCCAGCTCCCTCCAGTCGCCAACTGCTCCGAACCAGTGCCATACTCTACCGCACTGGGGGTGTCCGTCTTCTCCTGAATGGTATCGGTTCCGCCTGTACTTACTGGACGATGCACATCTCGGTGGCAAAATTATCGACTACTCTGCTTCCCAGCCCGGCCGCGCATATCCTTGCATCAGTCCTACTCGCTGAGACCCATTTTCTCTGGACCGCGCGCACCATCCTTCCGCGTAACCAGCTGCGCTTCGTGTCCAACCCCGGCGACCGCCAGAGGTGGAAAGCGCTGGTGCTTCCAACTTTAGTCTATGCCGCGGCTGAAGCGGTGATGATGCATTTGACAGCTCTATTCGACAGCAGCATCTCCCCACCGCCGGACGGGGAAGTCACAATAGCGGGATTATTGTACATTGTGAGATCCGACATCCTCGTATCAGGGCTCATGCTCGCTGCCCAGTTGTTTCTCCTTCTTCCCTCTTACATGGTGTTAATCCTGGTCCAGGCCAGTTTTCTGCCGCCCACTTGCGAGACGCTGATCTTCAATCCATCGAGGCAGCAGCACCGGGGCAGACGGGTGGGAGAGATCTTTTCAGCGGTCAATCGAGGACCGCGACAAGCACAACAGGCGGTGCAGATGATTGAGATCGGACAGTTACTCAGTTGTCTGGAATTGCATGGGAAGATGTGTCTATGTTTGGTTGGGGTTGCCGCCATGGTGCATTCAGTGGTCTACTGTATGTTGTAGAAGGAATACCAGCGTCCCACGACTACATTTTCGAACCTGGTTTCTCGACGCTAAATGTCCTCGTGGAGGAATTAGTTAGAGTACCTTCTACACTGGGCCAATAAAGAGTGCCGGCTGGAATCCCTTCCGGCTTCGCCAGCAGACGAATAAAATGAGGAGATAAAGAAACGGTAAAAGTCATCTTCCTGCACCAGTGGTGTCTCCAAGACCCTTTTGTATCTAAGTCAGTGTTCTAAAGTTTCTTGTAATATCTAGCCGTTCGCGTAAAGACTTAGTAACTTGTCTATAGCTCTTTCTTACTGCGGTGTGTGGTAGGTCCTATCAAATCGGCCTCTAGTATCTATCACTGTATTATACTAAAGCAGTGACCGACTACAGTGACTCGGGACACCAGGACGACCATCTATAGATTGAAGGATTAGTTTAATTACCCTACGGTAAGTTGTTAAATCTTGAGATCCCCTAATTTAACTGTCAGCTATTTATTATTATTTGGTTTAGTGATCATAGTGTTTCTCTCCAGCAGCTGAATCACTGTATGGCGACCATTTACTGAAGCTGTTCTGACTAGTATCCATCTGTTATTCTTTAGAACAGTGGGATTTACACCATTGTTAAGCAGCAGTAGGACTATAACATAGTAACCGGTTGCTGAGGTAGTATAGAGTGGTATCTATACTCTATGATTCTTAATACTGATATCTGCACCTCTCTCAAAATGGCCGCTTGACTTCAAGGTAGCTACAATACGACTGATAATAGCTAGTAATACTAATAAGACTAAGAACCAAGGCCCACACAGCAATATCGATTTAACACACCGGGTGATACAAGAGAAGGGGCTTGTTTGTTTAGGTCCTGGACTCCTGGTGAAGACGTGAGAGACAAAGACATCCAGGACCTGGAGGTGGTCTTCGAGAAGGTGAAAAGGCGATTGAGGGTGAGGAGGATACTGAAGATATTGTGTAGGGTAAAAAAGCCTTCTTATATGGTCCCTTTATTATCAGACATATTGCAGATGTACCTAGTTGGTTTAAGAGAAGGTGAATTACTTATAGTTTTATTTTCCCTTAAAGCGAACTGAAATTAGGGTATATACCTGAAGTTCAAATCCTTTTTGTAATAGAAATTTAATAGTATAAATATAGATAGATATCGTGTCGTATGTTCTCTTTGTTTCCTGTTATATTGCATTTTCTTAACACAAAATCCTGGTAAACATAACAGTTTTAACTTACCTATTATCTCTCTTACCCGCTAGACAATTTTTTCAGAAGATTATAATGTACTGTCTCTTTAATATCTATTATTATATTAATCCTATAATCCAATATTAGCACGTGTGCTAGTACCTAAAATCGGCAGTAGAATAAAGTACCACTATACACAATAGGAGAACGAAGGTTAACCGTATATTAATTCCTATTTTATATACTCTGGTCTCTAATACAGAACTAGAGCTACTCAATTGCTAAATCCTATCCCTGCCAAGCGATGGGGCAATCAACAATAGATCAGTGGACTCAGATTATCACCCTACAAAATCTGCCAACACCGTCTATCTATTCTAAATCAGGGCTTATATTCTGATATAAATCAGATTAAACGGGAATATACAGGGACTATCTAACTCGTTACTCGGGCCAAAAAGAAATCAGCACACATTGTGTATCCAGCGTCTCAACCCGTCCAATCAAATATACCGTGGTCCAATTACTCCACCAAGCGCAAGACATTGGTATTAGTTTCAAGGTTGTTTGTAGCAGACATAATCTTGCCCCAGAGCAGACTATGGTTTAATGTGGGTAATATAGGAAGTCCTGAAAAAGCCTTTTCCAGGATCTCCCCTGTAATAAAGAAAGAATCAGAAATCAATGGAACATAGGCTACATTACATCAGGAAAAACGTACCTAGCTTCCGAAATAATGAATATTAGGATAGTTCTCAGATTAAGACACAATATTAGGAAATAATTAGTAAGTAATGACCGGTCTCGACCCCCAACTTGACATCGACTCAATCCGAATCAAAGGAACAAGCTCGGCCACAATAACCGACATCCAAACATCGATAGTCACCCGGCAAGACAAACTCGATGATGTCTATCCCCTTAAATCATACTCAGTTTGGTTAGAAGATGTTTCGATCTCTTAAGGCCTCTTCTAAAGGCATGCTGTCATCCCATAAGGATTCAAGACTTCCCGCATATAGTGGTTTGCGGGGGACCTCCGCAACACTCTGTTTCAGCTGCTTTAACCCCCTGCTGGCCATTGTCTCAGCATCCTGAAACCTTTGCTTTGTAGCGGCTTCGGCCCCTTCTCTGAGATGCCAGTGTGCGGTATGAGCATTCGCCAGCGCACTTTCCCATTGACTAGTAGATTCCCGTTTTTTGGTACGCGATCGTTTCAATGAGTGATATCCGAATGATTGAAGGCTATTAATGTAGCCCATGATGAACCAATCGAACAGATATTCACAAGTTTTTTTAATAGAAATAAGGAGATCAGTCTGGTCGCCTACCTCATTGCATGTAATACCTACAATGCGGCGTGATGAGTATACCTCTTTGGCTGACGAGTCAAAGACAAAAAACTCGAAATTATTGCCATCGTATACTATAGCAAGGATGGGCACCCAGTGTCCTTCCTTCTTGTTGGCATAGTCGCTCGCCGCACACTCAGCCAGAACCTGGCCCTTTACATCAAGGCCTTGCTTTCCCATCGCGCAGGACTTTTTTACCTCGATAAAAACGATGCTCACAGAGTCCAGTGCAACAAAGTGGTGCTCTATACGGCCTTTTCTAGTAACCTCACTATCCAGCAGGGTGCCCGGCTTATTGACAACAATATTGTTGAATACGCAAACAATGCGGGTGAAAAGCGAGGAGATGAAGCGGGATCTGGTTTCTTCGTTTTCATGGGCATCAAGGGGACCGTGTTGTGTGAGAGCATCATCAACATCACGTACAATATCCCGAAACATGTCAGTAGGAATCCGAGATCGAAAGACATCGAGTTGTAACATATCTCGACCTGTCCCACTAGGATCTAACCACACGTATGGTGCAATTTGCTTGTATGCCACATTGGAAAAGGAGACTTCCAATATCTTGGCTGAGATCTGCGAGAGAGTGGACAGCTGAGTATCATAAGTTGCTAACAACTGAAGAAATGTGTCCTCATCTGTAAGGTCGTTGTCTGCTCTGATCTTAGCAAAGGCCTCGAAGACGTCAGACCCCGACGGAAATTTGGAAAGTGGGCCACTATCGCGAATCTGCACTTCACCTGGGCAAGCTGGGCCAGGCGGCAATCTCTTTGTAGCTCCAGAGCTGCGAGTTCGAATTCTCTTTGGTGATTGGAGCTCGCTACTTGGGGGGCCTCTCTTTCGCGATGCCATTTTCAAGAATTAAGGATAAGCACTCCCGAGTCCGGGGCAAAGAAAGCGTGTATAGTGTGATGTTTTCAGTGTGATTGTCGATCTGAATACGTCGGTCAGAAGATCTCGATGAAAACCAGATGCGATCCTGAGAATGGAAAGGGGATGCTTTATATGACTTTATTGTTTGACGAGGGGATGGCGAAGAACAATGAGATAACTTGCAAGTGGCGGTAAGGCGTGCGGTAGAATATTGCCACTCCAGTGTCGTATGTTCCTCGACTGGTTTTCTGCCCTCAACCACTGTCAGGAAAGGAAGGAGCCGGGGGCCGTGTCAAATTAGACCAGGCAGATAGTCAAAAACCTAGGAAATATCAACAACCTACGGCCGAGTCAAATCAGTACGATCCAGGGCGACTGTATGCACATATATGCTCATCTATCTGCCTGTATACGGACCGGAGCGGTTCGTTCCCTGAACCACCAGCGGTATATTAGGCAGTCAACTGATAGATATCCATAAAACAGAAACGAGTCAGTACTTAGTCTTGCTGTTAACAGCAGTGTTGTTGAACCTTCAGCCAAGTTCAATATATATATCTCAGCACCAGCCTATATTGACCTCACTGTGTAAAAAGTAGTATAACAGAGCTGAACGATCCGTTGATTTGCCAATTCGTGGGCTGAACGGCGGATACCAGCAAGCACAGTACTTAATCCGATGTAAAACAGTATACATGCAGAAAACTGGCTGAATTGTATAGCACAAATGAGGGACGGGGCAAACCTACCGATATCCTCTAATAGAGTCAGCAATCAGAGTCAAAAGAGTGAGAAAAGAGGGTTAAAAGAGGTCTGAAATGAACTTATAATTCTTTCACTTTAGAGAATAATTTGAGGTATTAGTAGACAAGTCGAATAGGACTTACCCGGTAAGTTTCCGTTGAAAGAAACAGTGAGGGATTATTGAAGATAATGTCAGTGGGAATGGATCAAGAGAATAAGTGTGCTGAATATAAGGTAGTGTCGGACACTATCAAGCCAGGCTGAAGGGCTAAGAAAGAGTAGAGAAGGGGAGAAGAGGTTGAAGCTTGAAAGTTAAAAGTGTATGATAAACAGGAGATCGGAGTAGAATTGAGATAGAAGCAGAAGATAATAAATCTAGCAAATGAATAATCAAAAGGTAGAGGATACGTAGTGGCATAGGGGGGGCGCCATAAGGGTTTTTATAAAGGCTAATTCGTGGTACTCTTAGTGGAACGGTGATGGAGGGAAGTAGAAAGATAGTTATGTATCACCATCACTATCCTCATTCATATTGACAACATGACGACGCGGCCGTATCTTGGGCTCTTTACTCATAATAAGGGGGAAATCCTTGATTGAGAGATTTGTATAAATATACTTTGTATGTAGACCGTCAAATGAAAATAGTATATATCCTCGATTATATTTGGTCACCTGTGGCTCTTTTCCATTGGACTTCTCGTGGAGATGGCCCAATAGTGCCCGAGAAACAAGCTGGATTGTAAAGTCTATGAATCAGCACTTTAACTTATGTTAAGTTGTAAAACAAGGCCAACTTGCATATTAAGTGTTTACCCAGTGGAGAACAGTCATCATATGACATGGAACCTGCAGACCAATTGTGGTCCAAGAAGGGTTATACTGTTTCTTAAGACCTGCCGTGAAAGGCTTTGCCTCAAAGCAATCCGCATAGCTCTTATTCTAAGGACGTTTAGCCATCACTTCGTAAACCTATCTGCATACAAGGGTGATTTGTGCTTCCATGTCTTATAATGTCCTGCTACAGATAGTTGATAGTATCTATACCCTGGATCATTTGATGTTAATCCTGGAAATGTCGCTTGGATGGGCCCGTGGATATGTGTATTTGTATCTGATAACCCACATATATTTTGTTGTCGTGAATGATGTAAAAGCTTTTCTAATGCATCCGGCTGTCACTTCTAACAGTCGTATATATGAAAATTCGGTTGGCATTCTGGTTTTCTTCACGACGAAATTTACCCTCATAATGCACATCTTTTCAGAAAACCAGTCACAGAAGAGGTGGTAGTTAAATGGCGAAAAGGACCATGATACAAAACATCTGGAGTACGGAGAGATAGTACCTATCTTTAATGCAATTGAATAGTAGTGGCCAGGAGTCCGTCGAGGATAGATACTGGTACACCAACATATACACTTAAGAATGTGGCCTATCTAGAGCAGTTCACAGTATTCACTGGGTTATATAACGACAGATTGTGCACTCGCTCTATATCTGCCAACAAGAGAGACATCATAGCAACTTGGCAAATCCACACTATAAGCCCCGTCAGGTGAAGACACTATATAGATCACCTGTCTGTTAACCATCTCTCAGCCTCTGCATATCCTCTATCCCGCAATCTTTAAATCCCTTTAAATAGTATTCTCTATTATTATATGACAAACTATCCCGGAGGTTGAATTCGTTCATTCGATTGATTATGTTGCTTGGTTCTACCAACATGACTGTGGGAAAGAAATCGCTTAGGGAGAACAACAGCGCTAGGTCTACCTAGGCAGCGTCAACATTATATTATCAGTGGTATATCTACTTATATCAAACCAAGTAGCTGAAGATAAAAATAATTATTATTACAACAAAAGAACATATTAAAAGATAAAATTAAATAAGAAACAATAGTTAATGAAAAGAGATTAATTCCTTTATATGTTAAGTTCTCTCCTCTCTGGGTAATAGGTGTAGATATAGTTTATATAATTGTGTAAGAGATAGGATTTAGAACTAGATTATCTACTGATTTAATTATCTGAATGCCTTATTCAAAAGTTTGCACTATTTAAGTGAGTAGGGGGCAGGAGGATAACACGGTTAGGGTGGTGAATACGGGTCTGGTACGTCACGGGCCAATATGAGGGGAAGAAGTCGGGTATTATAGTAAGAATTTAATGATTAACTGTCTTGGAAGCAAATACTTATGCAGTTCCTATCTTTTGCTACTTAGAGGCGGGCCATACAGTAACAGAAACCCTAGAAAATAAGGTGGGAAGGGATAATATTATAATTGCTGTGTACCAGGCATACACAGTATATAGGACGCTGTATGCAGGCTTAGATACTCTGACACAGGGCCGGGTCATCGAAGATAGCTATTGCGCCATCATGATGAATATCCTGACTGCGTAAAGATGCTTGTTTACATTATTAGTGGCACTGTAGTAGACGTCAATCCTTTTCGTATTTGTTCATTCTAGAAGCACCTCTTCCCTCAAAATCAGATAATCGACGTCCTAGATGCTCAAACATTTCTTATAGTTTATAAAGACAGATTATACAGTCGTATCTTTTGTCTACAAGAGTTCCAGCATACAATCAAAGAGTGGCTATGTGGGTAAAAGAATGTAGCACTTCCTTCTGCCACTGAGTGAAGAAAAAGACCGCTAATCTTTTCGACAACACTAAGATCGCTGGGCTTGGGCCGACGTGGACTGGGGAAGAAGCCTAATTCTCAGCCAATCAAGAATGTACGACCGATTCCTTCCATCTACGGAGATAAAGATAGAGGTACTCCTGGCAAGTTGGAAAAGACGCACAGGCCATTTAGATCAGGCAGCAATACAGCTTTACCACCCGGATACGCTTATCATCCATCCTAGCACGCTCGGGCCTACAAACCAATATTAAATTCCCGAAATTTTGGTGTACGTCAAATTTAAGTGATTGGATGAAATGGAAGAACCAATGAGGGAAAGAGGATGGGGTGGCGGAGCGTTCAAGAGAGCCAGGTTGATTAATGAGCCTGTCCGCTCAGATGCAAGGTGTTCTTTATACCTCTGAATACCCAAGGCTAATGTATGAATGAATGAGAGCCTTATTCATCTATCCGCGTGCACTTTTTGTCCTCTAGATTCTAAGCTCCATCTTGAAATTATCTGGACTTATTCTAAGTCGCACTACCATGAAGAAAGGAACGAAATCCAGAAGCCAATATGATACCCACAAGCCAAAAGAGCTACGTCGTCTGTATGAACCCCTTGGGGTTCTGCACGAATTGACTATGAAGGGCACAACGAAGCCGCGCTCCATTCTCTCGACCAGCGCTCAAGGGATCAGCATCATGCAACGCCGCCGAAACTTTGTTGATGCAATCGCTTATCTCGGGGCATATGGAAAAGGGTGTGAGATCGCTGTTGCTGTAGAACGGCAGCCAGATGGACTTATCGTTCGAATCGCAGGCACTGGCGATGTTGATGGAACTGTTGTTCCATTTGTCAACGACCTCCTGCGTATGCTATCGGATACCTTGAAGCTAGGAAACGATGAGATTAAGGGAGACAATAAGGAGAGTATCCTTATCTGCCTCTCAAACTTCGCACTCGATTTTGCTCAAGAAAAGGTCTTTGCCCATTACATGAAACTATTGCACCATATCGCTCCGGTATGCTTGGCGGATATGACAACAGGGTTAAATGGTATGCGGAAAATACAAAGGACTATTGTCTAGAGTCATATTGAGAGTACTGACGGGGTATAGAAGCGTGCAGAGACTCTCCCGATTTCAAGGCTTGGTTCCAAGAGAATTTCTATAAAAACGGCGCGCCTTTGCCTCAGGAGCACATGAAGTTTCTAGCAAAAGAATGCTTTAAAGTGCGGCAGTCCAGACTGATAAATAATCTAAGAGAGTTTATATATCAAGGCCATGAACATGTTGCCTATTTTGAGAAGTTCTATAAGCAACTTAGGAAACTGAGTCTGACTATCGACATGACTTCTCAGCTTCTTGAGTCTGCTATCTCTCTGCGTCAAGATTTTGCCAATGGTCTTGTAGCAGAAAGCATACCGTCCTCCCCAAGCCTGTCGATTCCCCTCCTTCCACGAAAGCTGACTATGGAGGGCATCGCAAATCGGATGTTTTCTGACCCATTGGAACGGGATGATTTCCTCCTGAAGCTCCAGCAGACGGCACCACCGGGGCTAATCCAAACCTTAATAAATTATTCACAGGAAGTTCTCACTGAAGTCCACCCCGAGCTTCTTGTGATAAACTACTTTGACACACTATCAGATATCGGTTTCATTGACGAACGTGACAAATATATTGGATGTGCAAAACCAAGCTGTTATCTATGTCATCTCTTTATTTTGTACCACCCTGCGAGATATTCTATGATATCTTCAAGCTCCAAAATTCGTCTAAATTGGCGTCTACCAGATATCTCGGTTAAAGAAGGTAATGCCATGGCACGCGCCAAGAATCAGAAGTCAGTCCTCCACCAGTTGATCAGTACTATCCGACTTCAGCTAGAGGAGAAAGTAGAGAATGAGTGGATTCTACAAACTCGTCGCACAGAATCAGAAGCTCAGTGGACATTACCTACCGACGACGGTACTTCCAATTACAGCCCACAACCATCAAGTCCAGCATCAACGCCTGGCTATCCAATCACTTCCACCGAACTACGTATTCCAGGGCTTGATACTAGTTCAGATGAGACATCCAGTGCAGACAAAGATCCTGACCGAGATGAAGAGGACGTAATTCTATTCAAGGGCAGATGCCGGTTCTAGTTGAAGTCTTGTCTAGTAGTGTAGTTTGCATGCTATCGAGCCTTGTTGGCCCTGGAAAATGTTAGCCAGCTGGGTACTCTATGGCACACTTTCAAGAACTACATTGTAACGAAGTTCACATTAAATACACTCCCTGGTACTTCAAATTTAGGCCATAGCGAACTACTTACAGAGATATGGAAATGAAAAAGGAAATCAAAATTGAAATTAAAAAGACCGGAAAGCCATATTCCCAGGACCGCTCAGCATCAACAATGAACAATAACACCCCCGTCTTCATCTTCAAGGCCAGCATCGAACTTGGCACTTATCTTTGCTAAAAAGATTATCCGGGTTAATTCTTTCCATGCTCCAAAAGAAACCGAACAGCAGGTCTAACCTTCACTTAGTAATCGAGTCAAAGCACGGATATGGTGCTCATAGATCTTCGATGTTGGTCTTACTCTACCAGTATCGAAAATTGAACTTGCTCCTGCTGTCGAGTCTGCATGGTTTTTCCTTGGGGCTAGCTTCCTCTGCACCTCATCTCGAAGATCGGACCGAAGAGTCTCTGTAACTTGGTTTAGGAACCGCGTGTGTCGAGCGAATTTATCAATGCAATTCCGATCGTTTGCTCGTATGATAGGCAGAGACCAAGCATAGTATAGCTTTTGGTGGGTTGGAGGCAGTGTATAGTTATCCGGGTGTTGGCGTATATATTGATAGCAAAGGTAGCATGCCGGTTTGCTGCAGGCAATATACTTGTCGTCGTCATCAAGGAAGTTCGCGTCAAACTTGTCGAAGAAATCGATCAATAAGATCTCGGCGTGGACTCGGGCACGACCTCTCTTGCACCGCTGCAAAGACTGAGATGTGTACTCCTTATTATAGAATTGGTTGAAATGATGGTAAAATTGATGTCTTTCGTCTTCTTCTTGAAAAACACAAGCCACAATCTTTTCCAAACCCTGCTCGTTTAGCTTTGGAAGAGGGATGGCTTTTGGAATGGACGCAGTAATCGGCTCCACTACAAAGCCTTCGCAGAAGTCACGACGTAGAGCTTCAATGGCGTGTATCATTCTTTTGAAAAGCCTAATGTGCTTGCCTAATTTGCTGAGCAACTTATATAGCCGCTCGTAATCAGGTCCTTTTTCATTGCCTTGGCTCGAACGATGTTCGAGGATTCCAAATGTCCCGTCCGCATGTGCAATATAGCAACTGATAGCAAGGCGAGGCATGTCACATTCCTCTAACATGTCACCGCTCTTGTAGAATTTACTCTTAAACCAGCCGCAAAACATACCTGGATCAGTGGTTGTCTTGTCTAAACCTAGCATATGTCAAACAAAAACAGATAAAGGTTGATTTGGAGGGCCAACCTTCAGCTTTAGAAAGCTCGCCGATTTTTCTCCATACTGTAATGGTGGCTTTGTAGTACTTGAAGATTTTCTTCCTGGTAAAATCCAATATGTTACCCAAGAGCCCGGTAACAGTCCTATGTTCATCTGAAGGTAACTGTCCTTGCTTCGTTTTTGCGAGCCTCTGTACCATGTTGAGCACATCATTATCCAGAAAGTTCAACACCTCTGGAGAAACATTTGCGTTACTTGCAATCCAAATGACGGCTTTTGTATCTTTTCTCCCTAGAGCCACAGCAGTGACATTATCCGGGTCGCAGCTGTATGCGCAAAAATACGCGATTGCGTCCGCGAAATCTCGCCGGCACTTTGCAACATAAAACCCGTCACGTTCAGCAGAAGACACAGGCTTGATTCTGTTACCCCTCACAGGACTCAGGGAATAGGTCAAGCAAACCATTTCGTAGAACTCTCTGACATCATCAGGGTCATGTTCTATCACAGTCTTCTGGGTAACCATCAAGTCTGTTGTTCGTTTTGTCGGGTGGTGCGAATTGGCTCAAAAGTCAACCTTACGTTGAGAAGGACAGACATTAGTGTATTTAAGAGGTGGGCCTCGTGCCTAGCCTTGCTGCAGCGCCAACTTTCTCCATGGAGAAACTGCCAAATTTACATATTCTCATACACTAAGAATGGCTGGCGAAAAAAGTCTCTCTTCGCCGATGGCACCACTTCCTCTTTACTTTCGTGGCAGGTTGGAATTCGTTATCTGTACCATGCATCTTATTTTCCCCCTATAGATGATTAACCACTGAGCAGCAACTGTAGAATAATCAAAGGCGCCATGACCATCTCACAGTGGTGTAATATCAAAGTAGCCCATTTTCTGCGCGCACATGGGTAGCTCGGAAATCTTCATTTGTTTACTTCTTTGCTATTGACCACTGTATTGCTGCCTAAATGCATTGTTCGATAGTCTAACTATGACATGAAAGGCTGGAGTGTGGACATATCCAGCGGAGCACGGTCGCACAGCTCCCCAGCCTTGTCCATCAGTTCTTGAATGCTCTCCAATCAAAACTGCTTGTCTTGATGGCGCTTGCATAAAGGCAATTAACAGGGTCATGTGTTACGTGTACACGCATTATACCAATTGGCATCAACGGAGCTGGTACTGCGATGCTACTGTACGTGGTCCAATCAACGGAATCTAAAACATGCCCCATGTTTAGTACTTTATCTCGCGGCACGCGAGTCATGCTTTCTGTTTCGTTATCTTAGCAGCATGACTTCATGTTGGCTCTTTGGACAAGAATATTGCTCCTGCGCATGGTAGCCCCGCTTCATCACATCAGTGGACAGCGTACGCAGGTGGCGATCGCAAACTTGGACACAGAGGGTATTCTGTTTGACTCGGTGTACCGGATTCTCTTAATCGCGTATCGATCGCCTCATACCTACTGCGGGCAAGACTCTTGGGGAAAATATACAACTTACAATATGGGCTCCTCATCGATTTTGGGATATTCCACTGCCCCATTTGCGGAGTCAACCACCACCACGAAGATGAGAATCTCTAAACAAGAAGCCCAACCATCATTAACAACTGGTCCCGGGCTTCCTACCCCGCCAAATAGCCCATTGTACAGGACGCATGAAGCCGGCCGAAAGTCAGAAGAACCCAAGTTTAGCCCAGAGCCCGGAAGTCTCAGAAGCCAGTTGAATTTTGATCCCTGGATATGCGGATCTCGAACGAAAACAACAAAAGAACCATGCACTCTGCGGACAAAAGCCGAAAGGCGAGTCGATGCCCTTATCAAATTGGAGTCATTACAGCTCCTTACACAGTCTTCATACAGCCTTGAGACAGAGCTGCGTCATCTAGCAAAAATGGTGCACTGTCGTCACCACAACCATGACCCGTATCTACATGAACGAGTTGAGAAGTGGAAGGCAGTATTTCCGTTGGGAGACAACAAGATCAACCCCGATGCCTCAATCAGAATGGCCGTTAAGGAACTTTTTAGCAAATTATCTGATTGTTGCGCAGGGGTAAAACTGGACAACAAGCCCTGCTTCAGAAGAATAGGGGGCAGGAAAGTCCAAAATCGTTCTAAAACAATCGAAGAGATCGTTAAACCGGAGATATATGGGAACATTTGCAAGCTTGAATATTTTTTGGAAGTCCTTGCAGAAAACATGTACTGCCATCTTCACAAGAATCAAGGTCCCAAGCAGGTGGAGGTTTGGAAGTTGGCGACTACGAAATTTTGCAATGAGAAAGGCTCGGGGCTGTCATTGATGACCGACGATAAAGACGGCAAAAATCAAGACTTGGCCAAGGCTGACCTAGATTTTTCAACAGTGGCGTATCACAGTGCTGTTGATTCGGATTTGTCCGAATTTAACACGCCAATACCTTGGAACTTAAGATATCCATCTCCTGCTGAGTTCTGGCCAGAGACATACGATACGACTCCTTTCAATATTCTAACCAGGGCCAATCACCTTGAAGATCAAGAACTGTTATTCCTTGGTGTCCAGAAACAATTACAAGCTCCCTTAAGAAAGGAAGACCGGGGTGAAGGCTTCCTATACGCATATGAGGTTGAAGGGAACAAGGGGTTCGTTAAGATTGGATACACCACTCGCTCAATCAATGAGCGCCATGACGAATGGTCATTTCATTGCAACAGACTTACCAAGCCTATTTACCCTCCCATCTTTAACGTAAATACCGTTGTCCCAAATGCGGCTCGTGTGGAGAAACTATGCCATGCAGAGTTGAAGCACCGGAATACGCGAATATACTGTAGTGGCTGCCTTAAGCTGCACATCGAATGGTTTGAGGCGTCTCCTTCCGAGGCAATCGCTGTCATTGAGAAATGGTCAAAATGGATGCGATCCCATCCATATCAGCCAAACCCGATTGATTCCTCAAACACATGGACACTTCGACCGGAGGAAGAACAGAAATCAAAGGACATTGGCCGTTTCATGAAGGGCATAGCACAGTAACAGCCCGATCGACAGAGACTGGAGAACCTAGGGATGGGGGAGCAGAAGACTTCTTCTATTGCTCATGACCAGTAGTTACACATGCTAGATGTTAGATGTTGGCTTCCCGATCCGTTTGAGTCCTTTACAGGAATTTGTGACATGTAGATGCGTTAGGAAAGCAGGAGGTCCGCAGAAGCAACGAGGTGGAATGAATGCTCATCTGCGACGGGGTGACAGAGGAATGACACAATGACAGTCATTTTTGGTTCTCTAGTAACCCTCTCGAGTAAAACTCTTTAAATCAGATTTTAGTTTTTGAATTTAAAAAGGAAGGAAAGGAAGACAGTTTTAAAGCAAGTTTAAAGTAGGGTTAAAATAGGTTCTACAGCAACCCGACCCATCCCTAGTGATTGGTTATTATCTGCAAAGACTCAAGGCTTGGCTCGAGTGTCACGGATGAGTTATCAATCGCATCTCCTAAGCTTTGAGCACCTTGCCAATAGATCAATTCACCTGACATTTCTCGACCAACGTGCTTTCTGTGACCTCATATACCTTCTGGGAAAGATTCGATTAAATCATACCTAGATCTACACCTAAAAGAGCACCCTATCCACCAACTCGCGTAAAATGTTGTCTTCAGCCTCAGATTAAGACTGAACCCTGCAAGGTGTAAGAAAGTAAAAGAGTGCTTTAGCTTCTGCTTTAGCTTCTACTTTAGCCTTTAATCTATGGACTATCCAAGTGCTGATAAGCTATCCCTGATTGAACAAATAAGTGGCTTCGTAGCGGGTACAGCGAGGAAGAGGATTTGTGTACGGTAATTCTCCGAGCACATCACAGCATGGCCTGAGGATTAGTCGGATAATTTAGACTCTCATAATATAAGAATGTAAAAGTCAGCTAAATCAGAGAACTTAAGATAGATCCCAATTTATAAGTAGTAAAGCCTAGAGACTCTCTCTACATAATAATATACTAATACCAGATAAGTAGATAGCTAATAGATTTATTAATATAGATAGAGTTGACTGGGTTCCTCGGTAGACTCTACCGCCATATTCAAGAATGATATATATCAACAGTGGGAAGAAGGTCTGATTCTCATAGATTCTTTAATTGTTGACTATCCTATCTAAAGCTAGCTTTTCCGTAACCACTAGGTATTGTTGGACCAGCTTAGCGGCCAGAAGAATCCAACTTCCGGACCATTTAGGGCCGCCAGACGGAATTCCCATACTAACAATATGTATAAAGGGGTGGTTTTCACCATTTTAAGACACTCTGAGCTAGGAAATCACTCTTTATCTACTCTCTTCCGGTTCTCTTTCATTGGATATTATCATTTGTATTTTTACCCCTACACCAAAGCCCCAGCTTGCTGGGCTACTACCGGGTATTGGCACTATCTACAGGTATAAAGGTTTTGTCTTTATACCTTGGTACAATAAACATTAGAATTACCTAGTATAATCGCCTTGTTTATACTATAGTAGTCGGAGCTTAGCAATAGCGTCCTAATATAAGAGGATTATATAAATAAATATAGCGAGGAGTAACTATCTACGCTGTTTGATACCTTCTATAAACTAGGCAGTAATTTCCTGGACATATAGATTTAATTGATACCCGTCAGTATTAGATCCTACCGATACTTATGGCTATACAAGGCAAATACCTACTATCAGAAGGCATCGGAGATCCGGATAGGAGAATGGATGAAAGAGCGCTGTAGCCGCTATCAGATAGTGTACATAACCAGTGGATCTGTGAATTATTAGCCTCGCCTTGATCTAACAGTCCGGTCCAGTCCACCTGCCATTAAGCCAAGTTCGACTAAGACTAAGTTACAGGAGCTAGCCATTCTACCATTGTCAAGAGACTCAGGATTACTGTAGAGCATCACCAGTAGCCCTATCTTCCATGAACTTCATGTACAGTAGGTTTGGGTTTCCATGGCTTGTATCGGCCCATAATAGATGACCGGCTTGCATTACTATCATAACCTTCACTTCCCATGACAACTTTCGATAGATAGATAGTAGGTGTTGAAGAATTATGCTTCATCTCTGACCTCGGATACATGTATAAGAGAGATCCCTGTTTTGGTTGAAGTCAGTGGTGGAGCAATAAAGAACATGCTTCTAATTTTATGTATAGTGTCCTAGTGCCCGTGATATTGGCCGCATATGGAGAAAAAACATGAACGTTCTGAGGTTGACGGAAGTGGGCCACAGACAGTGGGAAACCGGAGGGAGCTAATTTGGCTCAACGAGATGAAACAATGCTCTAGGCCGCACCATGGTATGTACATATTATGGTACTGTCACCGAAAAGCAAACTATCACCGGCAGCAACACACAATAGATAACTACGCTAGGTATGTTTAGTACCCTGCACGTGAGTAAGATTTGGACAGCGGTGCTACTTCTGCAGGCCTCGTTCGCCTGTTATGCACGGTTCACGTGTGGAACCTACGGGCGTAAAACAATCAAACGCAACATGGAGGGTGTTTTAGTTCATCCAGCAAAAGGTGGTATATAAAATTGCTGGGGCCTATTGCACCACGTTGAGGGCGGTGGTGCTCAGGCGACATGCAAAATCCGCACCTTCTCAGGGAATCAGACGAATCACCCTTTTGCCTAGTGCCGGATAATGATTTAAGGCCTCGATTTTGTCCTTGTACTATAACGAAGAAATACAAAAAGTATAAAATCATGCAAAACGCTGCTCTAATTGTCAATGAAGACGGAATTTTGCCCGCTGTTACATGATCAACTTCCTCAAACCCTCGAATGAAAAGAGAACACTCAATTAAAGTCGGCTATATTCTTGACCTTTTGGCAGAGAGCTCATTGCCATTGGAATTCTAAGTTCGGCGACGGAAGGTTAGATGGCAGTCATCCTGAAGTTGAAGTTAGCCTTAAGCGGACGGACAAGCACACACAGCCCCCCCATACCTTTGGAAATATTGTAGCGAAAACCTTTATATCTTCCGACTCCGGCGTATTATGGTGCTCCCAGTCCAGCGCCAGGCTCGCCTTCCCGATCATGGCCATTAGATTCATCTGGGCATAAGTCTGTCCCAAACAATAATGCGGTCCTGTTCCAAACACCAGGAAGTTCTTCAGATGCTGTTCAGCTGTTCCAGTGATCCACCTATCCGGATCAAATGAATCGGGATTCGGGTAGACTTCGGGGTCGTGAGTGGCAGGCCAAATGGACGGGAGGACCATTGATCCCTTTCCAACCGTATAAGTCTCGGTAATGGGGAAGTCCTTCTTTGCAATGTACGGGACCAGGATCACTGGAGGGCGGTAGCGCAGGGTCTCTCGGACTACTGCGCGCGTATATGGTAGTCTCTCCAACAGGTCCATGGACAACCGCCCTTCACGATCTCCGTTGCGGGCCGTTAAATTCTCTTCGCGGAGTCGGTTTAGGATCTCTGGGCGATCAGCCATAAGCTGGAAGAGCCAGGTAGCGGCAGCACTGTTGGCGTCTTGCGATGCAAACAAGAGGGTAAAGATAGTCTGTGCAATCTCGTAGTCGGTGAATTCACGAAGCAGCTGAGCCGGCTTCTCACATGGAACCCCTGCTGCCATGTTCCGCCTGTATGTTGCGGAGTTTTGCTGGGCTTTAATCCAGGCATCCATAATACAGGTGATCTCACCACCCTCTGCCATGTGTAATCTACTTTTGGCAGCACATTGGGTGAATTCTCGAAGGACTAGATCGGCTGCCTTTTTACCGTACCAGCCCTTTGTGAATGGAAGGATAATCGGGAAGTTGACCAGTTCAAGAGCAGCAGTGATGAGATAGTAGTCATGGGCGATCTTGTCTAGTGCGCGTTCGGAGATATACTGCCCCGCAAATGTGCGACAGGAGACAGTACACATGAGCTTGCGGAATTCAGGCATCCAAGGAAGTGGTTTGTACTTGTTAGCTGTCGAACGTGCGATAAAACGCTCAAAGTAGGCATCAAATACCGCTTCTTGACACGGGAGATAGCTAGCCAGGGCAGAGCGTGTGAAGAGGAGATTCAAGCCTTTGCGAAACTCAGCATGGTCTTTTCCATCTAAAAACACCCAATTGTCCTTCCCTAGAAGCTTGTGTGCGGAGTCAACCACACAGGGCTTCACGAACGAAGGGGAGTTGAAGATCTTGGATGACATCTCGCGTGTCGAAGCGATGACGACAAATCTATGACATTCAATTAGCTACCGCGTCCCTTTTCCCTATGATAGCTCAGGGATAGCTTACTTGTGGAAAATAGACACGCAACTCAACTCCCCACTCCTCCACTTGGCCATATATCCCTCGAATCTTGGATCCATTGACTCCAGAAACGGTCCCATGAAGGGGATCTTCCATGATGGGCCAGCAATTGAACCCTTCTGCTGGATGTATTTTACTAGATATGAGAGTGTCACGTTATCAGCCACATGCCTAAGGTTCACTGGTACATGTACAGAACTTACGCTGGTCATAGGCAATAGCCGCGATAAGAAGCGTCAAGAGGGTCTTCCAAATTGAGATACCGCTACCCACTGACCCGATGATTCCAGAAAGCTGGTATACTGGAATAGTAGACAATCCACTGCTAGAAGAAAACTCCATGGTTAGGGGGTTCCAATGTGGGAGACAAAAGTAACGCTGGAGTATTGGACTTGAAAAGGGTTCCGGCGGTAGATGAGTATATATTTGGCACTTGACAGGAGAAATTGATGTAGAACCAGGGAGTAATAAGATTCTCTGCCATGAGGTGCCCACGCTCCAGTACCTCTCTCTTTCAACTTGAATACCACCTTAAGTATGAGAAGGCTGACTGGTTACCTGGTATTTTTCCTATTTGGTTCAAGGCGAGACGATCCCTTGGTCAATGCGCAGTACCACAGGAACTGGCATCTGGCCAGTAATAGACGGAGTGAAATTACCGCTCCTGCAGGAAAGGCAGGCTAACTCGTATTCTAGTTGTGCTAAGAACTTAGCGACCAACCCGCATAGACTTGGCGTAATTTATACATCGTTTTACCTCCCCGGATCGTATCATTAGATGATTGGTTGGGTGGATATTATTTCCATCTAAATCTATGGCAGTCAAGACTCAAGGGCAGGAAAATGCTTGGTCACACCGAACCCTCTTGGGATTGGCCCCGAATTGCTTGGCGCTATACTGGATTCTGATCAAAAATACTACTATCATGGTGACGAGTTCTCTGGCTGGGATTGCAGACCGCGAGGATGAGAGGGGAACCTTTTCTGATCTGCTCTGAATCGCCGATGGATGTCGGCGTTCAGGGTACACGGGCCGTAAGAAATAGCTATTAGGTATATTCTGGTTATGGTAAATGGCCCTGGTTCGTTTGTTCAAAAAACTTAGCTCCGGAACTATACCACTCGTTTTAAAGGCATGTGTGAATGGTTTCTGGCATTGGCCATCGTTGGCTTGCGGTTCAACGTAGAGATCGAGACTGGGCACATGTGCTGTGGACTGACTCAGGCGCACCCCGGTCTTGCTCCATCATCCTAGTGAAAACAATGCAGGCGAAATGGCTAATATGCTAAGGGCACTTTCAGCCTCACTGTACGTACACTAATCCATATATACTGTCCAGTAGGCATACAATAAAATGTTGCCCAGGGTGTACTTTTGGTCTATCGACATATATACTAGGCTGTGGCGATACGAACACACGATGATCCATTAAGCACGCTGAATCCACTTGACCTGTTCACTTACCTGGTTGCCATTTTCGGAAATATAAGACGAGACTCAGAATTGGCGTTAAATGCCCTTGAACCAGAGCAGCTCCTCCCTCGCCAATTATGAAGGGTAAATGAACAACACCCCTGTCATACTTTGTGGAGGGCATCATGAGGCTATTTTGTTACGAAAACTGCTGCAACTAACTTATTTTGATTTTGAGGAGCCCAGGTGAAAATAGCCATCGATCAACTACTGTCTGTATGGCGTATAAATCTGGCTCTATCACCTCCGGTGTGCAAACCTGACACACATACCCAGAGCATGGCATGATAGACTCTAAAATTCTTCTTTCATCCTTTCTTGACCACCACACCTACAAAGGCAGAGAAATGGCAGGTCTCACCGTTCCTGTTTACTTCCAATATCTACTACTTGCATTGTCTGCTACTGTTGCGGTTTCCGCTGCCCCTACTTCCCAGGTTGACTCCCAACCCGAGCCCGGATACGTCGCCGAGCCGAATCAAAGAGGAACTCTTACGTTATTCTGGAACTGCTTCTCTACATTCATCCTATGCGTGTGGACTGCCGTCCATCCGGATGTTCTCCCTGTCCAGGGCCCCAGGTCCGCCAATTTCTACAAGTTCTTTATGATGACCTGGGCAATCGTGATCCCGGAACTAGTGGTGTGTATGGCAGTGGAGCAGCTTCTGCGAGCCAGAAAGATTCGGAACCTCTGGGAGCAAACCTTCGAGGGTGACAGTGAGAAAAAGGATTGGCTTGGACTGCCTGGCGCATTCTTTGTGGTGATGGGAGGCTATGTCGTAGAGACGGAGAGCTACAACCATCGCGTCAACTCGGTCCAGCCCAAACTACCCTCGAAAAGTATTTCCAGTCATCTCCAGCGGTCGAAACCCATAACTGAACCATTCGACTGCCCCCCACCTCTGGTGACAACCGTCGGACCCTTGGGTTTCGAACGCCTGTTGGAGAGTGGGAAAATTCCAAGACTGATTCGGGATGGGACGCTACAAAAACACCATTTTGACCAAACGGTTATCGAGGATAAAGGCAACGCGAATACTATCAGTAAGCTCCTTGTCGCGGTCCAGATCTCCTGGCTGGTCATTCAGTCAATCGGTCGAAAACTCTCCGGACTCCCGGTCACCCTCCTTGAGGCCCATGTGCTCATCCAGATCCTATATTCGATCGCTGCATACTGCTGTTGGTGGGCCAAGCCCTTGGATATCAACCGCCCCATCCCACTGCCGCTTGACAGCGATGACCTGATGGGACATGATCTCACCCAGCCGACAACAAACCATGAGCGTGACCTCCCGTTTTTCACAGAATACTACGAACACAACGGATGGGTGTATATTTTCTTTCGCGCGGCGTACAGTGTCTTGAAATATCTTCGACGGCCGATTGAGTTCTGGGCCTCAATACTTGCCATTGTCAACGGTGGTCTTCACCTCTCCGTGTGGAACAACTACTTTCCCACCCCAGCGGAACGCATCATCTGGCGCATATCCGGGATTGGGCTGGGGGCGTTCCCCACCATAGTTTATTTCGTCATGTCCTGGAATGAAGAGTTCGACAGTTTCTTCATCAAGATGTGGTACCGTATGAGATTTGAGACACGATCCTGGCTCGGAATGATGTTGCGAGGCTGTTCGATGATGTGGGAACTGTGCCGTGAGAGCGTGCATGACAACTCATCCAACCGGAAGGTTCCCATCTGGCTTCGGTATGTCCTCCTGGGCATCAGCATTATCGCGATGAACTTGTATGTGGCCTGCATCCTCTTCCTGACGATTGAGGCGTTTATTAGCCTGCGGAGTTTACCATCGGGAGCTTATCAACAACCGCGTTGGACGAGTATATTTCCACATGTTTAAACGAGTGATGTAGAGGGGATACAGAATCTTGCTTGCTATGCTTCTATATTTCGGTTATTTGGTTTATTTCTTCATTTTCTTCATAGTCTCTCACACTAGGTAGCGAATATTACTGTATGCATCCCACGCACATCACCACCCACACCCACATCTAATAAAATGCCCTGGACCCTTGGTGATAAGAGATCGACAGATGAGGTCCGTGCCCTCATACTTCGTATGCCAGCCACTTTTCTCCCACTGCAGGTGATTCATCCTTTAGCCCCACCGGTAACTTACTGTAATGCGTGATACTTCCCAATGGGGTAAGTGGCTATGCTCCTTGAGGATTCAATCTTCTGTAAAGCTGTAGAGATCCGGTATGCTTACGGTAATGGGCCATATTTCCCAACATCGTTAGCCCATGAGGCTATCATTCTGTCCTCTATGGGCCACTCACCATCCAAGTGTTGTGAGAGAAGGTTTCCTAAACCTAGCTCATGTGATCGACCCAGACGACAACAGCCTCAAGTCGACAATATTGGGAAAAAGAAACCATACGTCTAGTAAGTAAATAGAGTCGAGAAGAACTCAGCTTCAGAAGCTGGTTCTGCGCAATTCAATAATCCTGAATCGGGGGTAGTTAAGAAAGTTAATCGATTCGCGAGGCTCGAAGTATTATTAGTAAGGCCAACTCCGCTTAATACCCCGGAAATAAATCCCTCTCCACTCCCACCCAGAAATACCACGTACGCTAAGGCAGATGGTCATTCGGTTCGGCCCGAGCTATAGCCAAGGACAAGGACAACGGTATCCTCGACGAAAAAAACATGCCCGGTATTCCTCGCAGCAAGGGGTGTCAGAAATGCATACAGAGGAGGGTCAAGGTAACAGAGACACCTCTACCCCAAGAGAGCGCCCCTTCGTTTACTAATCAAACCGGTAACTAGTGTGATGAGGCAAGACCTGCTTGCCGGGAATGTGTGAGACGGAACATGACTTGCCCAGGCTATCCGCAAAGATTCCCCTTTTACAACGTGCATACGTGGAACAGCCAGGAATCACACCGGGGAAATAGAGGTGTAAGAACCTATCGTCCAGGGGGCTCAGATGTCGAATCTACAATTATGGACACCCGAGTAATGTCAAACCTTGTAACACAGTCCACTCGTATTCAAGAGCTGGACATGTTTTCTCGGTGTGTCGAGGGCAATTTTTCAAAGCTACGGGCCTGCTACAGACCACTAGTGGACCTGGGTTGGGTCGAATTCACCCTTCGTCCAGCACGTCCCCCTCCGGCATTTCTCCATTCGGCCGTACGCGCCTTGGCTGCTCTGCATCTCGGTCAGACGGAGCACAAGCGGCTTATCACCGAGAGTATAAATATGTATAACGATGCTTTGGCCTCCATGAGAAGGGCAGTAAGCTGTCTCCCAATGTCGGATGAAATCCTTGCGGGGGGAATCTTGCTTGCGCTCTACGAGATGAAAATATCTCAAGGCTCCTGGGCTTCTCTCACAAACTGCATTGCCAATATAATGCAGTCGCCCAGTGTCCCCGCCGCAACATATATATCGGGGTTTAGCCGAACACTGCTTCTCACATTCAGGCCCTTTCTCATCCGTGCATCGCTTTCTCTTGGTCAAGCATGCTTCCTGGAAAGAGATGAATGGATATCAGTGGCTCAGTCCATACGAAGTTCCGAAAACCCTAGCGTCTTCCGGGAGGCAAATGAAAATGCGTTCATTGAGGTTGTGAAAGTTCCTGGTCTGGCCGCCCGGACATACTCACTGTATCTTAGGCCGGAAGACATAGGGCTAATGGACGGGACGATTCGCTGCCAAGATAGACTAAGGGATATTGAAAGTGAAATCAGAAATATTCTAAGTGTGCTACACGGTTCGAAACCTGATGCACGTACCATGAAGCATTACCTTGGGTCTATTCCATTCCAGTCTGCGAATAATATTGTCCAGCGTGCCCTTGATGGGATACAATCCACTCTCACCCTTTTGGAAAATTTACTACAACACCAGTTGGCTTGTCGCGTTGCAAGACAGCCATACACAGGTATTGCCCCCTCCCGTGGGGTCGTTATAACCCCAACTTATGGCACGATCGAAGCGTTCTATATTGAGTTGCAGGCGACCTATGATGTGCTACCGGACGTGGGGTGGCTAGACGTCTGCGCTCTATCTATGGGAGTGGTACCGATCCGGGATGTATCAGTCTTCCCATGGAAGTATCAAGTATGTGGAAGAACAAATGATACGACGGTGATGATTGGTGACAATGCACAGGTGGAGTAAAATTGACATCCACGGGTATTAGAAAGATTTCTATTTTCCGAAAGGGGGCTTCTTTGATAATATATAGTTTTAAGATCTAAATTTGTATTAAAGAAAGATACATTCCATTACTTACACATTGCTTACAACCAGAATGACGTGGCCGGTGGCCTGCTTTGATAAAGAATTCTTCGGTAACGAGGCGTTGGTCAGTATATATTATTGAGACAAGAGTGCTTTTTCACATGAAGACCGTCTGGATCCTAGTAAATAGAGCCTATGTGATGCATATGGCTTTACCTAGATATACTACATCTGTTTCAATCAACGCGGTCCGAAAAAGGTGGTGCAATGGTACTTGCGTATAAGAAAATACATAGGCAGCTGTTGCTAAACAGGAAATAAAGATTGGCGTCTACGCTTCTCACTCTCGCACCTTTTCTGACCCCGTGCAAGCTAGACCTCAAATATTGTTCAGTCAGTGAGCCTCAGAATTGCAAGTTGCAGGATCAAATGAAGCGGGAAATATTTTGGAGGAAACAGAACATAGGTGGAGAGGAGAGATTGGTAAGGGTTTATGCCTCAGGTGTTAGCGCCGCGATTCACCATCAACCTCTAGAGATCATCAATCTCTACTGTACCGGATTCAGATCTCTCAATCTTTCCTTTTCGGATCTGAACTATCTGACCTTTCTTGCCTCGTACAGCGTAGCCTCCATCAGACGTACATAGAGCAGGCGTATACAGGGGTTTTCCCATTCATTTTTCACCTCACCATATTCTTATGAGCCGGTGCGGACTCAAAGAGTGTGTCCGCAATAATGTGCGTCGGCGTAATAGAGTTGAACGAGCTGCGAGGCCAAAATAGGATCGGCAGGAACCGCAAAAGATGTTACAGCAGGCTCGTCCTTAACTTCACATAGAACAGACTATCGTGAGGTGACGTGCTCACCTTGATCACGCAGATGCCATAGCGGCGATGGAACTAAACTCCATTGAATCCCCCGGACATCATGTTATAAGCGTACATACAACCAATAGCTCTTCGCAAACAGAGACATGGAGGAATGGGGCAAGCGTTGAACAGAGAAAAGTATTAGTCCAGGAGCCTCTACAAGAGTTGGGAAATATATATGTACAGTACAACCCATTAGCAGTGAGCAGGGAGCCGTCGAGAGGAAGCTACTGGTACACCAACATATAAGTTTAAGAATATGGCTTATCTCATACTACGGCTAGCCACAAGATTCGGTAAACTATCCAAATGGCAGATTCTGGATCCGCTCCGTAAATCCCAATAATAAAGACATCACAGCAACTTCGCAAATCCACTCCACAAACCCCGCGAGGTGAAGACACCACGGGGATCAACTGCCCCTTGAATATCTCTCAATTTCTGCATATTCTCTGTCCCGTAACCTGCAAACACCTCTGATGCCTGTGCTGCTGATGCATAATTTATATAAAGGAAGGGGTGCGCAACATCGAGAGTCTCAGCCGCTTCCCTGATTCTGCGAACGGTATTCTCCGTCATTGTGTTAACAGCGGCATCTCCACTGGCATCAGACCAAGCAGTAGAAATCAAGACGACTAAGATTATGTTAGGAAGACTGGTCAAATTATAAAGTTGAACAAGGAAACAGTAGCTTACGAAAGAGAGGTTGCTCCCCTTGGATACCGAGCGAATTGCCTCCTCTTTGGTTCATGGCTGCAATTGCGGTTCGTGAAATTGCGTAGGAAATGAGATTGGGTACCAAGCCATCCACTGATTTGATCGCCCGAACTTCTTGTTCGAAAATCTTGACTGCTTGAGTGAGAAGAGGACGGGAGGGTAACACGGTTAGGGTGGCGAATAGGTGTCTGGAACATCACGGTTTAGTATGAGAGGGGAATCAATGCATTTGTATCAAATGGGAACAGTGCATACCTTGTGGTACCCAATGGTCCAGAATCACGAGTCAGGTTACCCATGTTCGATATGGTGGTGCTTCTTGTTGCCGTCGGTATCTGATCAATAGCCTTAAATACAGCTGGGTTCCGCACTGGCTTCCCATAGCGTTGGGTGCCTGATAGAATGAAACTGTCATCCTGTGAGGCATATGTATAGTACATATCGTAGCCCATCTCTGGATCGCTAGTCAGAGTTTTATCGGTGAAAAGCTCATAAACCTGGTCGAGGACCTGTTCAGTTTGATTCCGGGAATAGGTTGTTGTAGTCGTAGAGACAGGACCCTGGCCGAAAGTACGGACGGTGAAGGCTGTCACAATCCCAAAATTATTCCCACCACCTCTGAGTGCGAAGTATAGATCATGATTGTGAGTCTCATTGGCGTTGACGATTGTACCGTTTGCAAGGACCACCTTTGTTCCTGTCAGTTGCCATATCGTCCACGTAGAGGACAGCAATCTGGGCACGCGGAAATAGTTCTATCGCAGGGGTTTGCCAAAATGCACGCACCTCATATTCATAAACATTATCCAATGCCCAGCCATACTTGTTCGAGAATGGCGATGTCCCGCCGCCCAGTGTAAATCCGCCAACACCGACTGTGCCGACTCTTCCACCAACAAAGGACAAATTATGAGCATCCAGAGCTTCGTACACCTGGTAAGAGGTTGCACCACCTCCAACCCGCGCCCTGTTACCAGGCTCTAGTATGTTGACTTGTGTCATGCGGTCCAGGTCCACGGTAACACCACCTACGGAATTAGAGTCCCCAGGATTCCGCGAGTGACCACCACCCTTAACCGAAAAGTAACACCAGTGGTGTACAAGAATCTCGAGTACCCGGGACACCTCCAATGCTGTGGATGGCTCGACCCGGCAAGCTGGGCGAACTTCCTGTTGTTTCGCATCCCAGATCCTGAAGCTGTCGTTACCGGGATAATGGAAGGCTGATCCAAAAGCAGTGGATAGTTCGGTGCACTGATTACTGTCAGACTCAAAGAGGGGAGCAAAGTGGGCGGCATCAATAAGAGCTTACTGCTTGCTGGCAACTTGCGGATACTCCACTGTTTGACGGAGTTCCAGACTGTATGGGAGCGAAACCATAAGCAATGGCGTTCGCTCCAGCTAGAATGAAGGCTATTGATATTGTTGCTCTCAACATGTTCGATGTCTTGTGAGATGAGTGCGGCCTGCAACAGCTGGCATAGACACCCTCTTTATATCCTCCTGAACAACAAGTCAACTACTGTAGTAGGACGACTAGCAACTGATGTTAATTCCAGTATTATAGGGGACTCATCTATCCAAACCGGTTGAGAATGTAGATCCCTTCCAACAAGGACTCAATTGAAGAGGGCTTTGAGCCAATAGAATTCTGCTCCCGATGACCCCGAGAAAAGATCCGTCGGATAGCCGTCATCCTCAAGCCGTGTTTCGTAAGCCATCTCTCGGCGTGCGGTACCTGGAGGCCATACTACATGATGTTTGCAGGTGTTACCAGAACGAATAGGTATCCAAGGTCCTAGGATAGGCACAACTTGGCTTGGGTTTTGTCCGCATTCCATATCCCAAGATTCATCCTTCGGGTTAAGTGGGTACCATTTCCTAAGGTGGTCAAGCTTCATGCAGGTGTATGACAATATGGGTCCTATGAGGCTCCTTTTAACTGGAACGTTTAGCTGACCTTGGACCCGCTTCGCGAACCTAATCAGCTTTCGCCACTGCCATGAAGTTTAACTGTTTAACCCTTGATCCCACTTAATGACGCAGTGTACTCTCAGTAGTGCTCATTGTCTACACCCTTAATTTTCAGTCGAGGTCCAATCTAGGCTAGGTTTATTTTTATTTTTTTTTTTTTTTTTGCACTTCAAGTGTCTCCAACTACTCTGTGGCAATCGTTCGTCGTTGTCAGCCAGTTGCATAGACGCGAACACCGTCCCCGCCAACAACAATATGGACTACCCAAGTGTTAATAGGTCATCCCTGATTGAACGAGAGACTGGCTCCGAAGCGGGTACAGCGAGCAAGAAGATTTGTGTACGGCAATTCTCCGAGCGTATCACAACATGGCCCGAGGAAGATTGGTCAGGCATTTCAGACTCTAAACAGCGCAGACGGCTGCAAAACCGGCTAAATCAGAGAGCTCGACGTAAGTTCTGGCTCGCGGGTTGTAAAGCCTACCGATCCTCGATTCGCAATAACGCTCTCGTGCTAGACAAGCAGATGACTGATAGATTCGTCAATATAGGGCTGCGGAACAAACTAGAGACTCAAGCCCCATCTAGCAACAAGACACGTGACAATAGTAACGATACATCAGCCGACAGGGGAAATTATGCTCCGACAGCGTTGAAGACACTAGAGCATCGTAAGAATGGCCGCAATATGCATTTCACTAGTGACAGTGCAAGAACAAATTCTCTGGCAGCAATCGAGCACGTACATATTCTTGAGCCAGACTCGGCGCATACTAAGAGGACATTACGACAGCTAGAAATCATAGCATGCACCCAGTACATGCTCGGTTCCCCACGTACCGACATGTTATTCCATCTAGTGCAATTTAATTTCACAAAAGCTCTAATAGAAAATACCAGGGCTTTCGGGCTCACCTCGGAGCAATTACACGACGATGCCATTTCGCCGTTTAATGTCTCTGGTCCTTGGCCGTATGACTTCGAAGCTTCGCTTCCTTCCAGTCTCCAACCTACCTTCATTCAGCGCACTATACATCATCATCCGTGGCTAGACCTACTCCCAATTCCAGAAATGAGAGATAATCTGATTCTTGCGGAGGACTCGTATGACGAGACTCGACTTTGTCTTGACATGAAAGGAGACGGAAACGTGAACACAGGTCAAACAGGCATCATTGTTTGGAGCGACCCGTGGGATCCATCGGGATGGGAAGTCACGGAATCCTTTGCTCGCTCTTGGGGATGGGTGCTTCGAGGCTGCTGGGACCTCCGTCGCTCCACAAACTCTTGGAGAGCACGACGGAATGAAAGACCTCTTTTCCGGGTATCATAAGACCTGCAGCTACTATCGACCTATAGTCTGTTACGTATATCTCACCAAGGCAGGAGGGGAGACTAAGGGATAATCGACTCAGTAGTATTCACTCTTTGACTTGGGGATGGATTTTGAAGAGCTATATGTTACAGATCCCTTCAATCTTCAACATCATAGGCTTTTTATTTTACAATTTGCACTCTGGGTAATGGGGGTATGCATAAAAATTCTGATTTCAGCGTCGTAGGCTATTCATCTGCATGTACCTCACCTCCTCACCAAAATTTCATTTCTTTTCTCCTTTAACCCTTAGAGATGGAGATGTAATGAAACTATACATTCCTTGCCCAAACCTACCAAGATACTAAATACATTAGGTATTGAGGTACAAAAGCTTTTGACATGTCGTTCTCTATAGAACATCGTCTACTCAGGGTTCGTGATGGATTGAGATGACCGCACAAAGTCATAAGTGCCATTGGCAGCAAGAAGGAAGGATGCTTTCCCCGTCACCTTGGGGTCAGGGCCAATAAAGTTTCCCGGGAAACCCACGTCGAAGGGCTTCTGGCTCTCAAGAAACTCGATTTGCTCGGCTGTTAGCCGAATTTTGAGTGCCTGTATATTGTCCTGAAGGTATTCAACTTTCCGACCTCCGACGAGAGGGAACACGTTTGGAGCTTTGGCCATCACGTATGCAAGCGCTACAGCAGTCAGGGACGTGATGCCATGTTCAGCTGCGACCTTTTCAAGAGCGGCACTCATCCTGGCTTCCTCGTCACTTTGCTCTGGACTTAGTATACTCCGTAGCCCCTCCCCTTCAGCCTTCCGCCGTTCGACCTCCTCCTTCCGCTTGAATTTGCCCCCACCCAGGGCATCCCAGGGAGCAAGGGCCATTCCGAAATGACGCGCCATGGGGATAATTTCACGCTCAAAGTCACGCAACATAACATTCCATCTCCCTTGGTAAATGCTGAAGGGTGTCTTGCCATGGCCACGGGCATATAAATTTGCTGCTGTAACAATCCAGGCTGGGGTGTCTGAGATACCCAGATAGAGTACCTTGCCCTGTTCCACCAGTATCTGAAGACTATCCATAATCTCCTCGATAGATGTAGTTTGATCCCACCAGTGGACGTATAGGATATCGATCCAATCGGTTTGCAGCTTCTTCAGGGACTCGCGAACACTCATAAACAGGCTCCGCCGATGGTTGCCGCAGTGGTTTGGAGCCTTGTTCTTTCCGAGTTTATATGATCGAAAGTCGGTCGTATACTTTGTAGCGACCACTATCTGATCACGATTCTGGCGCTGTGTCATCCATTTGCCAATCCAAGCTTCCGACTGTTCATCCTGGTAGTTGTTGGCAGTATCGATGAAATTTCCACCCGCCTCATAAAATGCGTCCAGCAGCTTAAACGACTCTTCCTTGGTCATAGATCCCATGGAATCCTTCCAGGCATCGCCGATGGACATGCCTCCAAGCTGGAGAGGGGAAACACGAATACCGGCTGTTGACGAGAGAATGCGATACCGACCCAGTTCGGTGGCCGGTTCTGGAGCAGGGGCCCAAAGGTGCGCCATTGTGTTTGTGAACAATGGGGTGGGTTAAGTTTTGCCGAAAGGATAAGAATGTATGACCTGAAAGAGTTGTCCTATTCTTATCTAATGATCTACATGGTTCGTTGTGATCCTTTATATATTGCTCGACCAGGTTCCCTCAACACAGCACAACGAGCAAAGCAACAACCACTTTTTGCCGCATGTCACCGTCCGCCTCATCTAGAATTTGGTCAACGGTCTATAGGACTGGAAATGGATAGTTCCTGTCTTTTATGGCTCCTCCAATCAGAATAAATTTGTCATCAGGGGGCAGGCGGCCTTACCAGCGGAGATAACGGAAAAGATATTTCGGTTGCCACTACTACTAGTAGTAAAGCGACCCATGGGATGGGGATCTTGGTTCCACCAATCAAACCGAAGCTGTCATCATTGTGCATATCTCCATAACCCAATCCGTAAGGTTTCTAGGGTTTGCGATCGCAGTATTTCGTGTTGCTGATATCAAGGCCTTAACCCACTACCATAAAGTATCTTCGGCAATATCCACCACAGATAGTTTGGTCCACTGCCAGCAGGAGTATTTGTGCGGTTTATAATTCCTTTCATTTCCGTTGTGTTCAAGAATGGCATATATAAAGGGGTGATTCTACCCACTTGAGATCCTAAGCTATGGTATCACACTTTTGACTTCATCTACTAGTATTCTCGTCCAATTCTCTCTAGTTGAATCTTACCATGTCTATTTTCGCACCTGCACCGAAGCCCGCAAGCTTGCTGGGCTACCACCGAGTGTTGGCGCCATCCGCAGGTATAAAGGTCTCGCCCCTATGCCTCGGGACAATGAACTTCGGAACTACCTGGTATGGCCATCAAATTCGCACGGTGATATCTGGAGCTTAACGGCGGTTTCCTGGTATAGGAAAGATTTCATGGGTGAATGCAGCAAGGAGCAGTCATTTGCACTACTCGATGCCTTCTACAAACTGGGCGGCAATTTCCTGGACACGTGGGTTCGATTCATGTCATTCAACATAGGTTCTTACTAACCTCAATGGCTATACAGGGCAAATAACTACCAGCAGGAGGAATCCGAGATTTGGATAGGAGAATGGATGAAAGAGCGCCGTAACCGTGATCAGATGGTGTATGCAATTCCTAATCCATCATCCTGTAAATATGTGTATCCACTAACTTCAAATCCCCAGCATCGCAACCAAGTACACAACTGGCTTCCGCACTTCGCATCGCGACACCGAGCCAATTCAATCTAATTTCGTGGGCAACTCCATTAAAAGCATGCGGGTCTCGGTCGAGCGTAGCCTCAAAAAGCTACAGACCGATTACATCGATCTCCTGTATGTCCATTGGTGGGACTTTACCTCATCTGTCGAAGAGGTCATGCATGGACTAAACAACTTGGTCAATTCGGGCAAGGTTCTCTATCTCGGTGTTTCTGACACCCCAGCTTGGGTGGTTGTAAAGGCAAATGAATATGCTCGGGTTCACGGGCTGCGGCCTTTCTCTGTTTACCAGGGGAAATGGAATGCTGGCTTCAGGGATCTTGAAAGGGAGATTATCCCTATGTGTCGGGACCAGGGTATGTCAATTGCGCCATGGGCACCGCTCGGCCAAGGCAAATTCAAGTCCTCGGAGGCGCGTAGAGGCGTTAACGAAGACGGAAGTGGCCGAGCTTCTAACATGAGCGAGGATGATATCAAAATATCTGATGCGTTGGAGAAAGTCGCTAAACGAAAGAACACTACTCTCCATGCAATCGTGAGTATCCATCCGATTCCTTCATCCGCATGAAAGCTATAGAGGATACCGGCTAACCGCAAATGTACAATTAATAGGCACTCGCCTACGTGATGCATAAGACACCATCTGTTTTCCCCATTGTCGGTCAGCGGAAAGTTGAGCATCTCAAGGCCAACGTGGAAGCATTGAGTGTGAGCCTTTCTGACGAAGACTTGGCTGAGATCGACAGTTCATCCTCGTTCGACATCGGATTCCCAATGAACTTCATATTCCGTGACTCTTATACAACAAATAGCACTGCCGCCGATGTCTCTTTGACCCGGGTGTCGGCTCATATCGATGCGCTCCCGAATCCTTCCCCTGTACGACCTCGTCACTTGGTATAAGTTGAAGTATGGTCATAGCCCTAGCTGCATGATCGTTCTCTTGTTTGAACAATAGCCTGTCAGCCACCAATCAGCTTTGTTCCACGGGGCACATCTCATAGTATGTAGCTTAGCGATATACTTACATCTGACATGGAGCTATATAAGTCTTAAATTAGTTTGGGCCGTATTGGCTATTACATTCGCTGTCTACCTCACTTCCAGCACTTGCGGACCTCGCCCATCATGTTTTGCAGTACAGACACTTTCAATTTAGGTCTTTCTAGTAATATTCATGTCTGTTTAGAGAGACTCCAAACCTCCCTTGAGTCTATAGTCATTCGTTGAATAATGGCACTACGTCAATCCATAGGAATCATCCCTTAGCTCACAAAAGACTACAGCAGTGTGGTTCATACACTAGGCCACTAAAGGTTTTGTAGAATGTAAATCTGCAATGACAACAATGACTTCATGAATCTTGCCTCCGCAGGCATTGTACCAATAAATTCCATTGAAGCCTTGCCAGTAGGCATCCTATTCTTACGGCAGAGATCGGCGTTTGATGGCTTGAGCGTGTTGGCCCAAATATATATATATATGCTAATTTTGATCCATGGGCACAATAACGGTGTGATTGGATATTCCCCGGCACCTAACCTGTTATTATATGAAAATCCTCGTATATTGATGAAGATCCATAAGATCTTTCATGTCCACAGGTGATAAGTGGGGTGCCGATCGTCATCTATTGGTTCATAGAGCATGGCAACACGAGCACTAAGATTAAAACTCGTATTTTGCATGAAGACCTGAGTGAGGAGGGGCTGCCCTGAATTCAAGCAATGCTAAGCTTTCTCTGATATCTGGGCCAATTTCACTGTTTACTGTGTCAACACGCGGGCTCTTCCACGACGGCCGAAACAGAGAAAGTCAGTTATTGAACCCTGAAGCGACATAGACCTGTGACCTTTTCTCCTCTATTCATGACGACACGCTTGGATATAACAGAGTTAAGCCTTCGACGGCTCTGGATACTCGCCCTTGGCTTGTTCAGCCTTGTAGCGGCCGAACCAAAAGTTATCACCCTTCCGTTCTCACGAAGCGAACGCCACATACTGGAAAAGAGAAAGTACGCAGGTGCATTGCTGGGAAATGACATATTGGATGGAAAAGGGCTATACTGGGTGAATGCAAGCGTCGGAACACCGCTGCAACCAGTCCAACTGCAAGTGGACACGGGTAGCAGTGATGTCTGGATGTTTGGGCCCCAGTCCTGTGACTTAAACACGTCCCCTTGTCTTGGTAACGCTTGTAAGTTGATGACTCGTGGCTCATACCCCAGTCTTAAGTTTGTTTTCCCTTTCGAACAGCTGTCTGCATCCCAGCATCAGAACATTGACCAGGATAATTTCCACTAGATGATCCTACGCTGTCATCCACATCCAAAATACTCGGCAAAGGCGGGTTTAGCATTCAGTATGTCACGCCGGGCTCGGGTGTCAACGGCGATTATGTCGGTGACAACTTTGGCTTTGGGTCAATTACTGTCCAGGGTCTTACTATGGGTGTCGCCCGGCAAGCACAAAATATTTTTACGGGTATTATGGGGATCGGGTTCGCTGCGGGCGAGTCGATTGTCAGCCAGGGCCAAAAGCCTTACAAGAACATTATCGATATGCTGGTTGAACAAGAATTAATTCACACCCGGGCGTACAGTCTCTGGCTAAACGATTTGAGTGAGTGAAAAGAAAAAAAAAAAGAAAAAGAAAAAAAAAGGGAAAGAAAAAAGAAAAGGCAAAGCCCTAGTTTCTACAGCCGCATTTCTAACTCCTGTCCACAGAGGCCAATTTTGGCGGTATCATGTTCGGTGGTTACGATACGGGCAAATTCATCGGCGATTTGATCGCGCTGCCTATCCAGCCAGACGCTCAGACCGGCGGCATTACTTCCATGACGGTTGCCTGGACCTCACTCTCACTCACCGACCCCAAGCAGGGCACACAGTCCCTTACGGCAGAGAATTTTATCGCACCAGCCATTCTGGATTCCGGCACGGCGCTCACCTATATCCCCCCAGAATTATATCAACAGCTCGCCGCATTTGCGCAAGTGGTTGAGGTTCCAGGTTCTAACCTTGGCGCTGTTGACTGTGAACAAATGCGGTCTTATAAAAGAACTTTAGACTACGGTTTTGGTGGCCCCGGTGGTCCTGTGATCCGTGTGCCATTTTTCGAGCTCGCTGTCCCATGGTTGGATGATAATGGTTACTACTAGAAACTATCTAACGGAAAAGACGCATGCGTCTTCGGCGTCGTGCCAATCACGGACGGTTCCCCGATCTTGTTCGGCGACACCTTCCTGCGCTCAGCATATGTCGTATATGACTTGGATAAGCAACAGATCGCTATTGCCCCTACGCGGTACAATAGTGAGGATACCAACATTGTTGAGATCGGCGGCAAGACCGGCTCCTCGTCACCCAACTGGAAGACGGCCGGCAGTAATGCCGCAAAGGTCACCCAGACAGCGACTGGCTTGCAGGCGCCCGGCGGCGGACTATCCCCAGCGACGATGACAGCACCAACCGGATGGGTTTTTTCTCAGACAGCCACCCCGTTCCACCTTCCTGGGAAAGGTGGCTCGTCATCTGGTGCTCAAGGTTCGCCTTCTCCATCTAATGGAACTGCGTCGTCTTCTGTCAGGGGTGTTGTGCCTGGGGCCTTGGCGAGTATTGCAGTGGCCTCATTGTGCATGGCTATGGGGACAATGCTTATAGTACTGCAATGATACCCTTATCAACTTGGATATTAGCCTAATTAATCAAATACTATGTATGGGTCAAGCAACCCCCGTTCTAGGTGTCTATTACAGCCCAATATGTCCCAGGATCTTCGCAATGTCTTGAAAAAGGATGTTGAATGGGAAGACATCGCTTTCGAGTCTTCGATTAACTAAAATCCCTGGACACCTAAGTCGTCTTTATAGGGCATTCTGTAGTATTATTTTCAGTTGACACAGTCTCTTAGCTTTGGTAAGGCCATGAAGTAAAGCTGAATCAATTATTTTCGATATTTTCCCGCTATCTATCATATAGACAGGGTACCACTTCGTATATTTCCCTGTTTTTTGATTAGACTAATAGACTTGGCGGCTTGGCCTAATTGAATATGAAAACACTCCATTTGACTGCCTAAACATGTCTTGACGCCCAAGGCTTCTTTATAGGGCAATTTCTAGAGCTATTTCCGGCTGACATTAGGACCCTGTTGATATCAGGATATAATGCACGATGATCTGGAGGGAGATAAAGACTCGGAGCAGTCTAGCGTATAAGAGAAGTAGCAAGTTCATCAAAATCAATATTGAAGAGAAAGCTTCAGGTATGTCTTTTTCTTAACTTTGTATCAGAGCTTTGCAACTCTTCGAGGGCCTCTTAGGTCCGGGTTGCCCTTTCACATCAAACTTTTCCACGGAGTGACCCGAACTAACATACACACTGATATCAATATCCGCAAACAACATTTCTGAACCACTAGGATTCCAAAATTGAATAATTTACTAGTAGATGATTATACATACTTTAATACATACTAAACAAAAATGACTTTTTGTTATTCAACATAGCCATTCATGTGAATAACAACCTGGATACGATTCCTTCAAAACTCGTCATGATAGTCATGATGTTTTATTTTTCATTTTATTTTTATTTTTTCGGTTGTGTAAATCGGGATGTTATTATGTGTTAATTTAACCTCGGGATCAGCGGGTACTCGGAGGCCGATGGTCCCCTACGGAATACGTTCCCGGCCGCCGGGTGGTTGATACTCGGCCAGATCACAGGAAGATACGGGATATAACTATCCCTTCCGATAACCTATCATTCGATAACCGAGCCTTCTTTCTATTCGGTATTTAAATAAATGGATATCCTCTATAAATCAATTCCATATACCTTACCCGCAATATATAGATGCGAAATATAGAATCGGTTCATGTCCCTTTTTCTAGTGCAATGTATAGCCTTCGGTTGGGAGCATGCTTAGGGCTTAGAATTAGAAACCTTAGGTGGGGTTGTATTACTGCGTCTACCACGTCCCAGAAAAACCAGGCTTTCTGTAGAGTAGCTGCAGAGTTAGAGTGGATTTTCATTAAGTGGACTCCTCTGTAGTCTATTAAGTAATAATCACCCTTCTCTACACTTCTAACTACTGGATATTTCTATCTATATTGCGAGGCCTGTAACATACGCCCACTGGATATTCAATTCGGAAGGTGCTGTCAAGAGCTATTCATCTTATAACACCGCATTTATTGCTCATGTTGAAGTAAGTAACATGAGATTCAAAAATATACGGTGTTTTTCAATCGAGCAAGAGTGGTGCAATTTGTGGTGTAGATCATGTAGTCTCTGGTGTGGGTGGGGGTTCCGTTAGGCTTCCTCCCAAGCATATCTTGGCTACGAGTCTTCCGTCGGGCCAAGAACGATCGACACTATGTGACTATTAACCACTTTGCACGTGCGAGTATCTCGCTATGAGAACTGTTCTCACTGTTCTGACTTCTAGCCGCTGCTGCACGCACGACCAGCCTTGGCAGTGGATCCTTCACGCAGGGTTTGTCTCAGGTTTTCGAGACGGACTGCAGTGTCTGTGTATAGCCCAGTAGTCTTCTAGCTCTTATGCATATCGTTATCTCAACGAACCGGAAGGTTTTGTCATTTGCTAGTGGTGACTGAGGATCTCCCGGATTAGCCCGTCTTCTAGTTCTTTCGGTAAGGTCACTGTGGATCCCAAATATACAACTTATGAAGAGTGCCAATAGATCTGTCCGACCCTCTATGCTTCTAGCTGGGTTGGTTATAGCTTTGGCTTTCTGTACTTTACATCATTCAGCCTATCTCCCGGTTCTATGTCGATCATATCCGGTCATGTCCACTGTGTCCTGCCTCTCGCCCACTGTGCTTCATGTTGCAGTAGAAGATCAGCAATTGAAATTACGGTGGGTCAGATATTTCCTCACGTTCAAGCATATCCAAGGCCAAAGGCAATGCCGGTCTCGAACATATCTGCAGAATCACCGGGAATCCTGTCCGCGCCTTAAGAAGAATCCCTATGTCACCATAGATCACATGGATAGGACTTCAACGGCTATTGGACATATCACTCTTATCATGGCGGTTGCATATCTATCGTCTATCTCCACTATCTGTTACTCTAGGACGGAGGAGCTGATTGATGAGGTTTGTCTAGTTCGTCAATCGATGATGCCTTCATCGAGTCTTTGATGGGTTAGTAATGTGGGATGGTGAGGAATAGATGTGAAGGCATATATAGGGCTCCAGATGTCCAGTATTAGCCGTAGTTTCATAACTAGTAAATCAATCGAGAATAGTTTCAACTGGCGATGTGCAAGATTTACTTGATTTGTTATCATTTTATCTCTTTCTCCACCAGAATCCTCAGTCCGCATCTTGATTCCCTTCGCAAATAATATATCCACCTTCTGAAGATGGGCCAACCCAATGACACCAAGGCCCCTGAGGTAGCCAGTGTCACAGTATCTCCGAAGCATAGTAGCTCTAATCCTTCATCTGTTTTGGAGGATTCTCTTGAAGCCCAGCGACCATCACCACCAGTCTACCATATCTTCTCTCGATCTCGCAAGCTAGAAATGGTGGTGATTGTCTCCGTTGCAGCCATCTTTTCACCATTATCTTCGAATATCTATTTCCCCGCCCTGGGGGCTATCTCAAGAGTAGGTTAACCCTGTACTGAACAAATTTCTGGTCAACTCTAATTAAATGATTGATTACCAGGATCTTCATACAAGCATGACCCTGACAACGTTAACCGTCACCATCTATATGATCGTTCAGGGAATTGCACCGACCTTTTGGGGTTCCATATCAGACACCTCTGGCCGACGACCCGTATTCATTGGGACTATGATTGTCTACATCGTTTCCAATATTGCCCTTGCTGTATCTGCTAACTACGGTGAGCTCATGGCATTCCGTGCCTTGCAGGCTGCCGGAAGCGCAGCTACAATCTCAATCGGTTCGTTAGTCATAGACTAGACTTATGTTCTGCTAAACTAAAACATATCTACAGGAGCAGGTGTCATAGGTGACATCACAACCTCGGCAGAACGAGGAAGTCTGGTGGGTATTTTCGGTGGTGGTAAGCTCCACACTACCCTAGGATTCTATAGATGCAAGAGCTGACAGTAATTCAAGTCCGCATGCTCGGTCAAGGTATCGGCCCCGTTTTCGGTGGTCTTCTCGCACAGTATCTCGGATTTCGATCGATCTTTTGGTTCCTTACGATTTGCGCCGGCCTGAGTCTGCTCACTATCCTGATATTACTTCCTGAGACCCTACGACCGATTGCTGGTAATGGAACGGTTCCTCTTCATGGCCTGCAGAAGCCATGGCTATACTATATTACTGGACAACCGGGTGCTGAGGATGGGGCTGAGTCAGGGCTCAAAAAGTCCAGGGTCACGCTTCGAACTGTCTTCGCACCTCTCAAGTTTCTGGCAGAGATTGATGTATTTATTACTCTTTTCTTCGGAAGCATTGTCTACACGGTGTGGAGCATGGTCACGTCCAGTACCTCGGACCTGTTTGAGGAAACATATAACTTGACCACCCTGCAGGTTGGTCTCACATTTCTGGGCAATGGTAAGACAGTTGCTCTCAACTCCAACAATTACCAATAAAAGTCCCTTAGCTAATTCTTGGAACACGCACTAGGCCTTGGATGTATGTCAGGATCCTACACAATTGGTTACCTAATGGACTACAACCACCGTCTCACCGAGCGTGAGTACTGCGAGAGACATAACTACCCACCCGGCACGCGAGTTAACCTGAAAACACACCCGGATTTTCCGATCGAGACCGCCCGTATGCGCAACACTTGGTGGATTACAATCCTTTTCATTGTGTGTGTCGCGGTCTACGGCGTTTCGCTGCAGACTCATCTTGCGGTCCCCATCATCCTACAATACATCATTGCCTATTGCTCAACTGGCATCTTCACAATTAACAGTGCCTTAGTAATCGATCTATATCCAGGTGCCAGTGCTAGCGCCACGGCTGTAAATAATCTTATGCGGTGTCTGATTGGTGCTGCGGGGGTTGCGGCTGTACAGCCTATTATTGATGCGTTGGGGCCGGTGTATACTTTCATTTTACTTGCTGGTATCACTTTGGCTCTGTTTCCTTTGCTGTGGGTGGAGACGAGATATGGAGCTGGATGGAGACTTGCTCGACATCGGAGGTTGAGTAGTTCTCAGGCTGGCTAATTGGGGATATAAGGGGAAGTTGAATAAGTGGAAGAGCAGTGGAAGATTAGGGCAAGTTAAAGGGTGCTGGGCAAAAGTTACTTCCTGTTTTACGTATGGCTAGTCTTAAATACTTTGTGACAATATGTTTATTTCTAGTTGAAGATAGACTTCGCGGATGCAAACTTTCCGTGTGCTTTCTGGTAATGCACTCGAGTATGCGCCAACTCCATATACTTTCGCTCATCCTTTTGACTCTACACCGGCCTGTTTCGCTGGAATATTGCTGTTCCTTAATATAAGCGTAATTTGAAGCAAATTATATCAACTGCCCGGATGGTCTAGTGGTATGATTCGCGCTTAGGGTTCACCCAAAGCATTGACTGCGCGAGGTCCCCGGTTCGATCCCGGGTTCGGGCCTATGTTCTTTTTGACGTTTTGTCACAGCATACTTATTTAATAGTTCAACATCGACGACAGCTCCAAGCTCCTGCCCTCTCTTGTATCTCCCACCCTGTGCCGGGGCTCGTATTCTTTATTTTCGCCGAGTATCTGATTCCAATTCCTGCATTAATTTCAATAGCCTCAGGCTCCTGCGGTACCCTGGACCCATTTCGCGCTAATACCCGACCGAAGTGCTCACCTTATACGTTTAAGTGAGATTATCATATCACCTTATTATTGACTTGGTTTTGGCTTGAGCAACTTTCTGGATTCAAGCCCCTTATAAGGGGAAGGCTCAAAAATTCATTGGCTTAATTATTGAACTTCCAAGATCATTCATTGGGGCTCATACCGGGAAGTATGCTGCCCTCACATGGGAATATCTAAGAGAATGTCGTGACGAATACAAGACATTCACCTGTTTACTAACCTCCTTATTGATAGTAGAACCTTAATTCATAGTTTAGGTTATCGAGCCAAGGCCTTTGCTTATTACCATCAGGACCTATAGCATGCTTATCCTAGCAGTTGTAATAGTACCTAATCATATTTACATTTGTTCTGGTGCTATCTGGAGCGCTAAACTATTGGGCTAACGCTCTTATCCGTCCAAGTTAATCCCTCTACGCTTGGCATGTACAATTCACTTAGTGTGTGTAATTATTCAATCTGGTCCCTGCTAAATAATTCAATCGTAGCCTCAATTCCAGAAACTGAGTGCTCTGATATGCGTCGGGAGCCAACCTACAATCAAACATAATTAAAGCTTCTATCACTACCACAAATGACTGAGCCTAGCCTAAATCTATATCATTTGTGTATTTACAGCCATGGGCATGGAGTTCTAACCATTATATTGTACCGTATCTGTTCTTCCGTCATGAAAGAAATAAATATGACTCTTGGTGAGTCTTCCTCGTCATATTAATGCTTTCTCATATGAACTGGACACCTACAAGAGCGCGGATAAGTTATCAAGGAAAGGACTCTTTGTACGTGATAAGAATGATTGCAAACGATTCGGCCCAGAAATGAGAGACCATCTGCTCCAGGGTAAAGATCAAGCCAAGGATTCAAACTGCCAACGGTTTCCAGGCATTAGAAGTCGGCATTCTCATTGTCATGTTAACCAGGAATTTGGCTAACGTCTATACATATATTTAAGCGGCTCAATAAGGGAGCTGTATGCAGATAGCTGTCAGCGAAAGTCTAGCTCGGTTAAGCACCCCACCCCCCGGATGATGAGTTGATGAGGACTGGGTATTTCTGTTAGACGCAATGCTGGAAACACCCGTGAAGAGCTCTTAGCAAAGGCCGCTGTTACCTCCAGTCGACACCTACCTCTCACCATATCGAAAAACTTGGTACAACACTGAGCTGACCGACTTGGTCCGACGGGGCCTCGCACACGCGACGACAATTATGGAATGGTGCGAAGCGATCGAGGAGCGTTTCAAGATGCCGTATAGCCAAATAAGGGAACGTTTGAACAACATGAAGTATACAATCACTGATGTGCGTAATCGTGTGCCCGCTTCGTCGTACGTCAATACCATAATGTCGCTGCGCATTGTAAGTTTCAGTGCTTTCGGTCAGCCGACTAATGGCACTATACGCTTGACGCCCTGAAGAAACTTTTGTCTATGCAGCCACTTTATCTAGATCCTTTCCAGCAAATCTCGCTCGCGTTGCAATATATTACCATTGACCAAGATGTTCTCACCAGAGACTCTAAACCCTGCGGTGTTCTCCCAGGTCTTTCCTCCTTTAACTAACGCCAAACAAACTCTGAATAGGAAGCGTGATTAATATCAACCACGTATGGCAATACCAAACGGTGTCCAAATGACCCTTTTCCTATGGAGACTTTTGAGATCCGGCGAAGTCACCAACGTCATGTCCTAGGCTCGGGCTCGCACAGTAACGTCAATATGTCCACTGTCAATATAGGTCAGACTCGCTGCAAGGATCTACATACTTAGCTCAAGCACTTCAGGACGTTATGTCAACGGGGCCTGAGACTCTAACCTGGACCCAGTGGAATATTGGCCAATGCAATTGAAGCGCATCCTGACCGCATCAGGAATGGCAGATGTGAGCGCAACTTTCGGAAATAGGAAGACCTCAAGGGCAGTTCTTGCACTAGACATAAGTGGAACTGCCGAGTCACTGTACTGCGATCTACTATTCCCAAAGCAGCCAACAGGCTGGCGTCATTAAAAGGGGCAAATTGGATACAGGCTAGGCCTGCTGCAAGAAAATTGAATCGGACGTGTGTACAAATTAAATGATTAGAACTCAGATGGGGCAGAGTTAATTGGATTTAGCGTCACACATTGCCTGGGGGTGTTGAGTTCACAATATGCGCGCGACAACCCACCTTCGTTGCAGCCCTCGCTCCATATCCACAACACTTCCTCTCACGGGTTTCACGCAGAACCTTTTGCGCCTGATGGCGATAATGACAGTATCATAGCCAAACTGGCTTGATACAACCTCGCCATTATTGAGAGAATTACGAATTATTTACCAAAGATGATGCACAGAATCAGTGCATTCATGTCATGCTAACTCGCGAGGATTATAGATGTCTGCTGCGATAACCTCCGTTCCCGTATTTATACGATAGACCTAGGATCTTATGCCGTACAGTGTCATGAATTCCATTGACCACTTAAATTATCCCATAATTGGATGCCAGTCTATACTTCATAGCCAACAACCAACACGACTATTACGACTATTAAGACGAAGACGGCATTGTATTCGGTCAATACAGCAATCTATCGAGGACCTGCCCCTGCCCTTGTTGTCCAGTTTAGCTAACACCAATGCGCGCAACCCATATCTACCCTACGACGATCGTCAATGGGTGCGAGGAATAGTGTCGATTCTAACGTTGACCCAGCCCTGTCTGTCGGAAAAAGGCTGTCTGCTAGAGAAACTCTGCCCGTTAAAGACAGCTATCTTCTGGATGAAATAAAGTTTCTCCATATAGGTTTTGTGCTCTACTAGAATCAGATCACGATGCCAACTGCGCTCGCTGATAACCGGATGGTGTATATCGAGTTAAGCTCCGGACGCTGCATGCTATAGATGGCAGACATCATTCCCTGTGCCTGGAGCGAGCGTCGGACGTATTTTATCTGCACCGAGTACTTTGACCAGTATCACGGTGGCGAGATCGAATCGGAAACTATGGTAGAGATTTGAAACGTTACTATGGCTCTTTGTGAGAGTACCTTTGAGATATCAGCCTATAGGTATCACTGTCGCTTCTCTATGCACTGGTGGGCAATGTGCTTCATTGCTCTTCACGGGCTCGATCCACTAGGACCATCGGACTGGACAGCGAGGATCCGGGCAGGGCTACGACAACCACTACTCTGATTGGTACACGAAACATACCAACCAGAGGGGAAAGGATGTGGGCTTCGTGCTGTGTTCGGGAATGCCGCAGCTTCCCTTGACCGTTATGAATCACGCTTTGGTGGGCGATTTGGCTTTCCAGCTGTCTGCGCCGCACCATATACTAAATATTTCTATCTTATGTTTTGTACTTTCTCGAGTGACACGACCAAACTTCTATCTGCGCATGGGCAACTTTGCCGAACATGCGAAAGCCCTGCCGCCCGTCTGCCGTTTAGCTCACTCCAATCTTGCACCACGAGTTACACCCATAACCCGGTTCCCTCTTAAGCTAATCGCAAACATCACACTGGGAGTAAAGGACAAGTTCCAAAACGAGGTGGGCATGTGGGAAAGGATATACCATAGACCTTTTCTTCTTCGCCTAAGGCTGTAGCAACATGGACACCACGTAACTGTTTGACAATGGATCTACTAATGGTATGTACTTGTTATCTCAAACTGCGGACTTTATCACTTTCTCGATATAAAATTCTAGGTTTAGGAAGGATTGTCTACCGCTCAAAACTTGGGTACCCTTTTCTCCATGGTAGATGGCCCATAATACATTGCTTGGCCTCGAAAAAACACTCTTGGGCCTTGGCTTAGACCATATCACCGCGTTCCAAGATGGATGAGCTGATCTATATATGTTAGTATAATATCGGTGATAAGGTCAGTGATAAGAGGAGCATATTGTAATTGACAACAATCGAATGGATAATGGACAATTCTGGAATGGATGGATGCTCTTCTGAGCATGTATTTTAGTAACTTACCTCGACATATGTACAACTTCTTTGCCATTACACTTGAGGTTCTGGATCATAGTAATCTAGTTTCTACTCTTCTTCTGGTATAACCAGAACGGTTTCCAAAGACAGATATTAAGAGGCAAAACTGCAAGGCAGGTCTATTATCGGTTTAGTATTGTAGTTTCTGAAGTAATTTCTTCACAACCCGTTGTAGCATAATAACAATTACCCACCAAGTATACTATCCACTTTCTGGTCCAGAATAACCTCACTTTCATCAATAATCATCATATTGATATAGTCTAGCCCTGTACGTAAGCGGTCATGGGTGATGGGTGCTTATGCAGGGATATACCAGTTCATTGATATTAGCTATTCCGGTCATACAGGGATTAAGCTATGTAGATTCATATCGGACTGTTGGTATAACATCTGCCGTAAGGTATATACATTAGGGTTGACAAATTGACCCTTCGCTTCCAAGACGCAGGGAAGTATAGCGGCTGTAAAATGAAATAGATATCACTGAAAACGAAGCAATAAGATGGAAGCAAAACAAGAAACCGAAAATTAAGAAAACAATTATTGGCCGTGCACAGAAGACAGCAGCGAATCAGGAGTCCAGCCATCATCCGCCAAAAACCACATCTTTCCCTCCCGTGCACGACATAGCATAGTCAAAAGACACTTTTCGACACCTCTACGTGCTTCAAGACTGAGATGGCCCAGAACATCTGTCATCTTCATGACATAATCGATCTTTGCGGCTCCGTCCGGGTGATATGTCACGAAGTGGTGATGCAAAAATGCACGCAGGCTGTATACTGACGTCTCCCATACATTTCGCGAGGTTGCAAGCGCAACGTCCAGCAGTGCCATGTCATTATAAATTTCAGGCGCGGGTAACGATGATGTAACAGGCGAGTGGGATATGGATTCTTGCATCGTGATACAGATGGAGAATAGGCAAGCCAGTCGGTCATAGTCGGAGGGAAAACTCGCGGTACCGGAAGGGCTCTCGTTGGCTAAGTGGAAATTCGACCGTAAGAGTAGAACGGCATCATATAGGGACGGGTAAGACGCGAGACCGTCCATATACAGCCGAGATGAGAATGCCATGAGGGTCCGCATGTCTTGGATAAATGATATCAGCCACAGACAGCGGACTTTCTGTGTATCCACTAATGCTGCTTTCGCGGCATTTTGGAAAGATTGTTCGGATATTTCGGATATGTTGTTTGATGACTCAAACCACGTTGGTTTTGACATTAAGGAAACACTGTTGGACGCGTTAGCTATGACACTACCATAGCAATATGAAAGCTCACAGATAGACGACAAGCTCCAGCCGCCAATTATCGTGCAATTTATCAATACCACCCCGTGCATCGATCATTCTTTGAAGGCCAGTGCGATGCACTATCCACTCCTCTTCTGTCCCCCAATATCTCTGCAGACGAGTCAGTCATGTGTCTGTGGAACGGGAAGAGAAGGTCAGATAGATAGGCATTGCGATAGCAATCGTACGTACCTCAAATGTTAAAAGCCGAATAACAGCAGCAAATGCGTCGTTACTCAGCGATTTCTCTGGGTCGGCCATCCATGTAGAGAGTATTCTCACTGCCTCAGATTTGTACCTCAAGGCATCAGCGGAACTTGTTCCTCTTGACGGGTTCATCCCCGCGTAGAGGTGAGCCAGGTGAGCTGCTGAGTGGGCCATAATACCATAGAAAGAAGCAGCGTTGGAGAGGTCCAAGGGGAACCAAACATCTTTCATCGGGTTAAAGCTCGGAATGGCGACATCGTCGAACATCATTGTCGCGTGAGTAATCAGCCCTGGCATCGAATTAGCCATTCCGGTACTTAAAAGTATCCCCAAGGGAACACACAGTGGTGGAGCAATTTGTGATGGTTACTTGTCAGTTGAACCGGAAACATCTCGAAGGGGTCAAGCCTGGAAGACGCGAGGGCGTGGTTGAGTCCGGTTAAGGCTTGTGCTGGCACACCAGGATACTGGGCCTTGATGTTTTCTTCGCCGTAATCTGAGTATCTGGTTTTTATACAAGGCGGACTGGGTTGGTGTAGCAAAAACACATTCTCGGTACTATGATACTCGACTACTGGTTCGGAAGCGCAGTTTGGTTTGGGTTTACTCTTCTCCACGGGGCTTGTATGAGGCAAGATTTTCCTCTGGGTTCGGTGATCTTCCGATTTTTGCTTGCGCCGTTGGCGCTGCCTCCAGTGCTCCCGCATTGCATGGCTGCGAGCTTCGGCCAAAGTGCCCTCAGTTACAAAGGCGAAGCGGGAACCCCCATCCTCTGCACCAGAGGAGTGAGATGGGGACCGCCCCGAGTGTGACGGTGAAGACTTCTCATTTCGTGGAGTCATGGTTTTAAGTGGTATGATGATTTTTCCGGGCGAGTCATGGAAATATGTCTGTGGTCCTGCTGGACAATGTTAGTGGCAATAGCTTCTGACGGAAGTAAGTAAAGTACTGGCGGAGTTAGTCACACATGAATTTGTCTTATTGACGACTCAATTCAATCTATACATCCTAAATGAAATCGTGTCCTCAGTCACTACAAGAGTATGCAAAACTGGTTCTCATGATGCAGAAGTTTTATGAAACAGGTACGGTTATAGGTTGAGGTCCCTTTGGGCAGGGAGGGAATTCGATGGGTCTTTCGTGAGTATTTATTAGTCATGATCGGCCGATCCACTCGGTGGAAGAATCTTCCCTACTTACGTCTATTGGCCAACCTCACCAGACAAAAATCCTTCTGCACTGGGTAGAGATCGCTTCTTCGGTCGACACTCTGCAATTAGAAATCTCCCCTCTGGCCCAATGCCACGTGGGGAGAACAATTATTAGGTACTCTTGTGGTAATCGACTGGACTAAAGATGTTGCTCGTGCAGTGCTAATTGATCCATTGAAGCATTGACCGTGGCGAAAGGGTGTCACCCTTCAGCGGTATGACATCTTACGTTACTGAGGAGAAGGTACCGGTTTCCTGGGTCTTCAGCAAAAGTTAAATGTCTTAACAACAACTAGAGGTTTTGGTTGGTATCCTTAATCGGGACCCAGCATGCAAATGAACTTCATCCATGGGTGCCATTTCCTCTCGAGTTGCGATTGTGCATCATAACAACCCCAACTAATCCCCATTCGTTGATAGTCTAGATCGAGTCGCATGAGAAATTTGGGTCGGTGGCGAAGTGTTCCTTGAGATGATAACCAATCGGTCTTCGGGAAGATCCACACACCCTTTCCTCCCTGTAGGGTCGCGCAAGACCGCCGGTGAGCCGGTCGACGGTTCAAGTGGTCTTTCGCCTATCGTCCATGGTGATAGGGGCGATCATGCTTTTTGCCACAGGGCACTTGACAGCTACCCTCTAGGTTATGCCTCGGTCAGTCGTTTAGGTTTCCGACCGTGTACAACATAGCTGCGAAACGGTTAGCGGACATTATAGCTTCCAGCCCGAAGCATGTCCACCTACAAGTCGGCTACTGTATGCACTTTAGGGTCCCGGACGTCCTTTCGGGCCCCAGAAACAAGAACATTAACCTCCTCTTTGGACCAGCCTTCGAACCTTGTGAGGACGGCCATGGCACCTGCCTCGAAGCCAGTCTCCGCTTGCAGGAGGTTCCAAACCCCGATGGTTTTCTAGCGCGCCACTCATGTTAGATCAACACTACCCGAGGTCGACATCTCGTCCACATACATAATACTTATCCTTGGGCCAGCCTCCAACGGGGGCACGGTACTTCTGCACGTGAATCTCTTCAAACCCTGCTTCTTGGAGCCACTCGCCCAGATGCGGGCCTGGGCTAATGGTAAACCCGGCCTTGGTGAAACTGCCACAAACAACCGAGTAATATTTCTCCACCGACGTGCCTTTGATGGAGTCATCCTCTGAGTACACGTTGACATCCCAGTCCTGAAACTCAACCCATCCTCCAGGCTTCGTATACCTACCCAAGTAAGTCAGGGAATCACGTTCCACGAGGGTAGGAGGCTCAACTTGTATGCCTGAGTCATGAGCCTCCGCCAATCCTTCACGGCTCCAGCCAAATATCGGCCATGGATGAAGTCGAATTGGTCCTGGTAGATCCAATCATCCTCGAAGTCGTCGACCAGGAACCTGGCATTGGGAGGGACACTGCGACACCATACAATCAGCCGGGTCTAGTACACAGCAGCCGACGACTCACAATTGAGGCTGTATCGGGCTCAAATCCATGCCAATAACCTGGAAAGATCGAACATCAGTTTAAAGGCCATTCCTCCAACTTGGTATAGGTCAAACCTCCGCTGATGGGTAGTTGTCGGCTGTTCAAGTTAGTATAGATCCCCTGAATGGGTATTGATCCTGGCACTTCACCAAAGTCCATTACCCATATCCCTGTGCCAGCGCCCAGGTCTAGCACACACCCTGGTGAAGACTCGATAGGAGCCAGAAACAGTTTCCTGTTCATCATTACCAGAAGCATTTCATGTAACATGTCAAGCCGATCGGATTCTTGTTCGTCATTGGGTCCAAGATATTCTGACAATCGGTGAGAATGCATCGATTTCGCTGTGTTTGGGGCATATTCTTACTGCCGTCGCGATAACCATGATAGCGTCTGCCATTTTCATAACGATATTCCAGTGCAGATGAGGAGAGAGAGGTTGAGTAAGCTGATCTATTAGCCGTTAATAGTCTGTCTAGCAGCTTGAGAGAGAATACACTTGACAGTTCTTGTCCGTATGAGGAGCTGTTATCTGTGGCCTTTGTTGTGATGGTTTCAGAGTACTGTCACTGGCTTGAGGGTTTAATAATTTCGGGAGTCCGCTCACCTCAAGGTCAACTTCAATCACAGGAAGCCGAGTATTGTCATCACTATCCGCTTGAATACGTCGGGACATATCGTGGAATACTTCAATTTTGCGTTGTCGGAAATCCGATGGTAATTAACGGTTGATGGAAGAAAGAAAAGCTGGGGCTTGACCGTATTTGTGAGAACAGGCCGCACATTTCCCTGGCTTTTTAACGAGCACAAGCACCTATATTAAAAGGTTCATATGGCCTAGGAAGGTCATACGGCCTCTCTCAAACAATGAAATCACCCGGGTTGGCCGGCTGCACTAGCGAAGGTGAGTCCCTAGCCTAACCGAGCAAGGGTGCATCGGCCTCTCAACGGTTTCTCCATTTTGAGCATTTAGTGATTGACCCCTGCAACTCATACTCCATTCAACCCTTGCTGGAGGGGTGAACATAAGATCAAGTCACTCGACATTTTCAATAAGCACTTATACCTATCATATATCTCTTTCCCGTCAGATTCTTCTGAAATGTGCAATAGACTTCGAAAGTCTAGTGTATGAGAGACATTTTACTCACAGACGTTACGTTGAGAAATCTTATCCTGGTTGACTCTGCGTCCTGCAGCGGACAGCTAGACCTGGCCTTCTTTGACGTTGGCGGAGCTCTTTTTTGGGCGTACAAGAGATAATGCCGCAGCAGTAGCCTACACAGCGCACCTTTTTTTGGGGATATATAACGCCTCTCCTACGCTGGGCTAAACTTCCCACGGACTTCGATCAATGGGTCGACTGGGATTGGCAGGCCTGGCTAGAGGAAAATTACGGACATACAAAAGAATCAATAACAGAAAAGATGAGGCAGGTCTTCTCGAAGTATGTTCGGTTGGGTTTGTTCCTGGGATGATCGCCATGTAGAAAACTCCGTCTGATCCATCCAAGTTTCATTGTCAAGGCACAAGGTTTCGACAGGGCTACGTCTGCGTGTTAGTTGCCAAACAACTCCACTTTGGCTGATAGTAGTCGAGACCCGATTATTTCTGGGTGATGACGTACTATAGTTGCAGCGTCGAGAACAAGGAATATCAATACTGTTTCTTCAGCTTCTGTCCTTTGCCTCCGTGTGTTCTTAGCATTAGACTCTAATTAATAGCGATAAGATCATTAATATTTCTCCTCAGCTGCTTGCAAGAAGACTGGCTAATAGATAAAGTGTTCATCATATGCGCATTATTATATTCCCAAGTGCTTGGTAGAGGGCCAACATGACGCGGATGTCACACAAGATGTTGAATATCGAGTTATTGAAATACGTTTTTCAGGGCATTGAAGATCCTGGTTAACTTAACACAAGCTTCCCAATGTCCTCTTTATTCTGGCCTTTGAGCGTTGACTGGTTTACCAGGAGTAGCATTTTGGCCCATCGCGTATCATCTATACTGATTAATGCTCTTCTCGTGGTTACCTTGCCGAATAACGTTCCCCTTGAACAGGCATACTGAAGTCCCCCAATAAACCACGGGTATACCAGTTACTTCGGAATACAGGAGATAACCCCTGGCATCGTCGAGAGTAAACCTCAGAAGAGATTCTCCTTGGTAATTTCCAAGTTTTCTCAAATCTTGTCTACAATTCCTAGGCCGCTGTTATATAATACTGCTTAAGTTTCCTGCTTACTGTATTATTGTTTGATAGAGTAAGGTCCGTATTGATTTTATACATTATTAATTCATTTCATTTTCTCTCGCGCTTTTCCATACGCTATTTTCCTTTTATTTTTTAACAAATACTTACCTCCTTGATCAGAACTCACTTTAGCAAAGCCTACACATACCCATTATATACACATATCAAGATCCAACAGGTTTTGCCATAGAAACTGAACGTCCTGCATAGCCTGCGAATTCCCCTCATGTCTTATGAATAGATTGCCAATCTGCCAAGCGAGGATCGGGAGCTTTCATGCGACGCGCCTTCAGTCAAGAATGGCATTCATCCAGGCTAACCCCGTTTCCTCTTGCTTTTTGCAGGTATCTTGTCGTCCCAGAGGCTCGAATCCTTTCCGCTCGGCTGAATGGCGCAGCGTGTTAAGTATCCCAAACGCTTCAAAGTTCCACTATGTCTCTCCTACTAACCTGTGAAGACCCGGAAGTGGAAGGCAGATAGTTATAACAAGATTGAAAATGGTTGGCGATGTTGATACTAGGGGAAAGCATATCAAGGACGCACCTCATCGGCCGTGCAAGAACTGGCGGTTGCCACAACATCTTCCAACATCTGGAGGGAGAAAGAATCCTAGTTTTGTCGGTGTCTATAATCTTTCCTTTTAATAGAGAGAAATTGTGGATGTAAATCAAGGTGATTGAGAAACAACATTAGGTGTTGGCCGGCGAGGGAGAAAAGAAAAAGAGGGTTTGTTCCTGGTGGGACTCGAACGCCTGACAAAAACCGCTGTTTGGGGAACGGCTTTTGTAACCGGTCATCCAGCGGTCCCGTGCCCATTAAGCCATCAGGTGCTAATCTAAATGGTGTTTCTTAAGCCAAGCACATCATTTTTAACCTAGATCATATATATCTGCTAGGGCTCGCTTCTCTTTTCTACCTCTCTTTTGATATCTTATTCTACAAGGAACCGTATAATCGATGGTTCCTTATATATTTATATATATATATTACGTGATATTATATACGTGGTAGGGCTCGAAAGCGTGGCAAAAACCTTTATCAGCGGAACAGCTTTTGTTTAACGAGTCAGCGTTCCCATTACGCCATCAGTTGCTAAGGTAACTGTCTCTACTCTGCAATAGAACTCCTCTACTATATTAGGTCTGATCCTCATTTTGAATGCTCGTATTATCGTTTTCAACTTTGTTTTCCAACGTCTTATCCCTACTACAAGGTGTCATGTCGTCAACAATTGTCTTTCCACTGTGATAAGCGAGCGCTACTTATTAATACTATTAGCGCTGATAAAGAAACGAGCGAGTCATCAATCCCTTACCCCAGATGTTGATGCTTTCGAAGACAACTTGCCCATATGAACTAGGCATGAAGGTTCTTCACCACACGGGGGAACAATAACCGACAGTGCTCGAGTAGACGTCTCGGCAAGGGCGCTACTGGCCGACACTCTGCATTCTTGATCAAAGGATGTGCTTCTCGCAATGTCTTTGCTGTAAGAAACACTCTGCTTAACAGCAAAGATCCCTCATCACTCTCGTGGGGTTGCTATTGCGGGTAATGATATGGCCATACGTAGATCCAGTTAATGCCAATCCTTCACACTTGAGTATGCTCCTTGGGGTATCTCTATATCTCTTCCTCTCGATCAAAGTCACTCATTGTGGATCCATCGATGAGTGATCTGGTGGAGCTTCTGGTTCCTGACACGGGATGGATTACTCCGCCTAGCTAGACCTAGAATCTAACCCATTGCACGTCGCTAACTCCAGTAGGAAAGTCGTCACGTTAAATCTCTCGCATTTTATGGCTCAAAATCACAACCAAAACAAAAATAAATCAGCGGGGCCATAGTCCCTTCACAGGTACTCCAATGGCGGACGCGGCACGGGCATGACATGCATATATAATGTGCGCGGAAAGTCTCGGCCATGACGGATCATTTATTTGTTTATGTTTTATGGACATCAAGGATTGACACGACCTCTGTATTCCGTGTACATCTTGGCTCGACCGGTCATTCGATGTCTCTCAATTTAAAACCAGGCTATTCAGTTGTCTGTTCAGTCACTCACACAGGATGCCACGCAAGCTTCCCCGTCACCGTCTGGGAGGACCGATCGAGAACTTCGAAGATATCGGTCCGAGTACCCTAACGATTATTACTATCCACCTACAAAGTACGATTCGTAGCAGAACGATCCAACATTGAGAATACCCCCATTGGTTCTCCCCTGGGTCAGAGACATTGTAATAAGTTAAATACGTTATCCCTAATCCTAAAGGGTGATGGTGTGGAAGACTAGTTGTTGGGTGGCTCGTGCCACTCACCAATTAGATGACAGTTGAGTCTCCACTGGGGCCATACACCAAACCAGATTCTGTTGATTCGAGAACCATTGGTTGAGATACAGGATGTAACCGTCTTGCGATTCGCCCCTTACCGTGAGATCATCCACTTAGTTTCTGCCCCCATTGTCTTTTTTTTTTTTCTTTTTTTTTCTTAGGAGGACGTAAGGCAGACCTGGATTTTGTGCTTTGGGGTTGAGGCTCCTGTCGTAGTGGTCCATCGACTCCAACAAAATGGCCGATAACACCTAGTTCAATGCATCGACCACTCTTGACACCCTTCATCCTCCCATCCCCATCCCCCATTCCCTTGCTTCTCGCGCATTTTAGCCTCTCACCTGTGAGAGCGCTCATCCTTCCATAATGTCCAAGAGACGGTTGTTTCGCTGGCCTGCCCCTCGAACGGTGTGTTTAGGATGTTTGGCGCTAGTGTTCACCACGCTGGTGACGATGTTCCTATACATGAGCGAGCCGTTAGACATCCAACCGAGTATGTATACTTACTCTCGGCTCCTATCTCTCTATCTCCCCGTGTCGAGAGGGAGTGTCCCACATTCCTAATGATATCATGGCTAATGAATCCCAGACCCTGAGCCCGTGAGCAAGCAAGTCTTTCGTCAATTATCCGAGATCACAAACACCTACACGAATGGAAGTGCAAGTGAAGTTGGACTGGTGCTAGCGGCCACGCAGAAAGAGGACCTCGGCTGGCTCCTCAATTATTGTCGGGATCAGTACGACATTGTGCACCTTTCGTGAACATGCCGTGCCCATGCTAATATTTAACCTTATTTGCCCATAGTGGGACAATCCCTTTCATTTATACCACAGATTCCCCTCCCGCCCCTTACCTTCTCGTCCCGGCGACCACTCGCGGTCGCGAGGCCACCGCCTACTTATCCTACATCGTCGACTTCTACGATCAACTGCCGAAGTACACCATCTTCATCCACTCCAACATCGACCAGTGGCACAACGACCTCTTCGGCCCGCGCACCAGCTCCGTGCTGCCTCACCTCCGTCTGGAAGCCGTCGACGCGCAAGGATACGTCAATCTCCGCTGTGAACACAACCCCGGTTGCCCGACGAGCGTCAACCCATGGGAACCGACGCAGATTGACATCGAAAAGGACGACATCCGCGCGTTCTTCCCCCAGGTCTACGAGACACTATTCAACGTCGGCCCAGAGAAGGTGCCCCAGCATATCGGCAACGTCTGCTGCGGACAGTTCGCGGTGAGCCGGGAACGGATCCTGCAGCGACCGCGACACGATTACGAACGTATGCTTAAGTGGGCGGCGGAGACAGAATTGACGGATAGTTTTGGCGTCGGGTGGGTGTTTGAGAAGGTCTGGCATGTTGTTTTCGGCATGGAGGACATATAGTAAGTTCTTTGGGTTACCGCCTTTTTTATGATGGGCAGAGATGCTAACGAGCCGCAGTTGTCCTCGTTATGAACAGTGCCGATGCGATGCATACGGATGGTGCGGGCCGTTGCCGTCGGGCGAAACACTGCAGGCAGTGCGAGCCCCGCGGTCCAAGGGAAAATCGACCTGAGTAGATGATTGTTAATGTTGATGTATACTACCATGGATATACACTGGTTACGAGTTTAGCAGCACCTAATTGATGTCATTTCGATCGAAGCCCATGTTATTCGTCCGAGATTTGATCTACCATAAATACCACAGGATGAAAGTATGGCGTGGACCAGATCTTCTAGGGATTGGGACATTTCATCCGTGATAGATTGCTGATATGCAGTCATTCAACTCCGAATCTCAAAAGATAACAAACCACATTGAACAGAACAACGAAAAGGTATCATTATTATCATTGCACATGAAGGAAAGGCCACTGATCAATCATGATGTATAGCCTGCTGATGCTTACCACTCACAGGCCCAGCATCCAGCTCAAACAACCCCTCCTGCTGCCTCCCAACTTCCGGCGGTGGCGCTTCATGCACGTTCTCACTATCCAGCATGGGGACCTCCGACTCAGACGGTCTCCTTCTCGGTATCGGTCGCAGAAACAAGGACGGGTCATCCGAGTTTGAAAGCACCCTCGATGACCGATCGCCGGGCACCAACGCTGCAGGTACCGGTGCCGGCGGGGGCGGAGAAACCGGCTTTCTCGGTATAGTACTTGCAGTCACCACCTCGGTATCGGACGGCGGACTCGGCGGTTCTTGACTGGACGGAGGGTTTTTCGACACTGCAGTGGGTACTTTATTATCAGCTTTCTCGACATCCTTCCCGACCGCCCCCGCGGCGCCAGCAGCAGTGAGTCCAGCAAGGACGGCATCCTTCCGTTTTTGCCTTTGTCGACGCATACAAAGCCAGACGAGGAGCACCACGAGAATAACACCGATAATAACACCAATCGCAATACCGGCCTTCGCGCCGGCGCTAAGCCCCGACCCTTTCTCATTGCAAGAGAACGAGCCCCTGAAAGCATTCTTATCCGACACAAGCTTATCCAGACTCGAGCACTGAAACGAGCCCGAACTCTGAATCGTCGTTTGGCCGTAGACATTCTCCAGATTCCCAAGCGATATGCTATATTGACCCACATCAGCACCAAACCACCAACCACTACAAAATACCGAACAGAGGAAGAGAAAGAGAATAAAAAAAAGAAAAAAA